CCCCGAGTGGAGCAAGAAGCCCACCTGTGCAGCAGAAACAGCCGACCATTCAGTCCGCTTTCTCTAGCGCAACACCTTACGACAAAACGTCAAAGAGCCACAAAGACCTCACAGATGAAGTTGCTTATTGTATTGCAAAAGACATGCTTCTAATAAGCACTGTTAAATTTCCTTTTTTATATCTCAATATATATGGATTTCAACTGATATGAAAAAACATATTATGATAAACTTCTTACCATATCGCCCAGCCCTAGCTTCAGTTATCAGTTTTGGTTCATGTGGACTGATCTGATCCCAAAAATCATCCGTGAATTAAAACGCACCTACCAAGACCAAATCTGATCAGATTGTCTTGTTAAGGCAAGATTCAAAGCCCTGGTTGATATCTAAAAAACACAGAGAGAATCCACACACACTCTTCAGGGAGGAAGAGAAATAAATGTTGGCGAAATGTAAAAAATGTTGATTTCAGTGCCACATTTACCCGACACTGCAGTCACATACAAGGTGACAGAAAGACAGAGATACTGCTGCCTGTGAAGACACACAGAAGCCCTGAGGGTCTATTTTCTCCCTCCTCTTGGCCTCTTTAGGATGACTCTTGGATAAAAAAGCGAACAATTCGGCATCTTTGACAAATGGGTTATGCTTTGTTTGCATTTACCTCAGACACATTCCCCCAGCTCTCTGGGTGCCCGGGTCTCCAAACTGTGACAAGGGCTGAATCTGGAGGAAAGCAACTGTGGGGTGTGTTAGTGCAGTGAGTCTCCTCAGCCTGACCATTAAACACACTGGCACTCTAACCCCATGAAGTGACTCAACATTACTTTTACTCACCCTGGCAGCCTTGGGCTTCTCTGTAATCCTCATCTTCACGCTCTTACTGTATGTATCTACGCAGAGGCACAATCATGGGCTGTACAGTAAAATAGAAGAGCTGCGCTGAAAACAAGAAGTGATCCCTGAATTCCTTGTTCTCTCTGATACACCTCCCCTCCCTCCGCTGCCTCTCAGCAACTCATTTCACCTCCGTGTGGTTTGTCCTGCTGGGAAAATAGAGGGGTGTACACCATGGCACTGAGGGCAGCAGCAGGGGTGGAGAGAGTTAAGCCTCAGCTGAACCTTACAAGGGCAGAGGCTGGAAAACACACACCATCACACTGTCTGCTCTAAAATGCTGTCTGAATCTGTTATGAACTAAGCCCACAGTTGTAGGTGTTAAAAGCCTGACAAATTGTGTTATTGACCTTTAAGAAAAATGTAACAGACACATGTAAGAAAAACCACTGTTTTGTCCAATAACAACAAAAACAATACAGAAACGGATTATGCTCAGAAATTCAACTCTTGATAAACCTCTGAATGTCTTTTATAGCCTTCCTTACATATTTGACCCTGTAAATGGGTGTTTTATTTTTCGTTTCTTTTTAGACAAGGTTATATGAGGTATTTCTTAGGTATAATACAAACAGGAATGATTGTCAGCTTGACTCTTTTAGTGATAAAGCTAGGTTAGATGGGGTCAGCTTTGCCAGGAAATTTGGCTGATTTTGGTTAAATCTAATTTAAACACTCTCATACTTTATTCAGAAAATTTCAGCTCTTCACAGGTCCTTCAGCACTGCTCTGTGGACTTAACAAAGAGTTGTACCTCTGCCATCAGTGCACTGATAAGCTTTTTTATAATGAGCGGGTAAACCTGAAGTTTGCCAGTAATGCTGTGAGTAATAACGTCAATTTTTAAAGGGGATTGTTATAAGTATAAAATACAGCACACAGTAAAAACTGCAGGGTTTGTTTTTTCAGCTCTGTCCTTCCCTTCAGCATCTAACAGAGAATGTTTTCAGAAGGTCAACACATTGTGGGCTGGCATTGTCAATCCATCAATCTTTATTCATATGGCGCCAATTCACAACAAGTGTTATCCCAAGACGCTTAGCAAAACAAGCCAGTCTAGACCAGACTCTATTTACAAATACCAAATAAAAGGTTGGGATAAGACTGAGTCCCATCTTGTAAGATCAGCCCCACTCCCGTCCCATCACTTTGCAACATTTAGCAAGTCACAGTGGTAAAGGAGAAACCTTGAGCAGAACCAGACTCATGAAACACAGTCATCTACTGCTGCTGCATTGGGTTTTAGATAGGGGGAAGAGGGAGATGTGGGAAGAGAGAGAGATGAACAGAGGTGAGACTGGTGCATGTAGTTGAGAGCAGACAGGTCCAAAGCAGCAAAACGTCTTCAGCAGTGATCCAGAGGAACCTATGGCATGATGCAGCACAGGGACTTCCAGAAAAGACTTTTTGTGACTCTAATGGGACATGAGATTCAGAGTTAATGATGCAGACAGATAGAGGATAGTGAAGGAAGGAAAGGTGCTCAGTGTGCCAGTACCCCTGACAGTCTAAACCTATAGCAGCATGACTAAGACTTCAGGGACACACTTCCATTCAGCCCTCCTAGCTGAACTTCAGGAAAAAAAATAGTGAAGAAACAGTCAGTAAGACAACTCTGAATGGTGAGTAATACCGCCTTTTTTGAGCTGCAAGTATCCACTGATCTAGTCCTGAAGTACTGTTGTTACCAAGTCCCACTCATGACAGCAGTCTGTGAATTTGTGGGCACAGGATGACAGGTCAGCACTTTCTTGAAGCTTATGATCTTTACAGCAGTGACCATTTTTTCCTCCACTCTCTATTTCAGCCTGTTCTCCAGCTCATAAAGGTAAACTCTAATATATCAACCTTAAACTGCATTTAGTAATGGCTGTCTAAATCACTCAAGTTTTTGTTACGCTTATCTCTTTTAAAGTCTGCAGACCTGCACAGCTGATCCGTGCCCTGCAGACAGAGGGAGAAGGATGTGCTTTGTTTAAAAATGGTGCGGGGAAAAAAAGTGGCTTTGTGATGGAAAAGTAATTTGCAAATTTCTAAATCATCAGTCTTTGTTTAAGCTTCAAAAATCACTGAGGTTTCCCTTACTTACAACAATGTTGTGATACAATTAAACCCCCCCTAAATTAAACAAAAAGAGTATTTAAACTCGTGGAAATGATTTCAGATAAATGACTTGAATTGTCCAAGAGAAACGAGAAGTTTCATCTTCAGAGTCTGTTGTAAATGATGCCATGATGTGGTTTTTGAAGTATTAGATGGTTACTAGAATGAGTTTGATAGGATCTAGCAGTCCAGTTCAGCATGGATTTTGTATATAGGGATATAAGGTGTCTAGTGAGGGATACAAAGATGAAACCATAATGTGGCCTACACCTACACCTGTGTTAGTGTTTAGGTTAACTTCCTTAAATTACATGAATTGTGTAATAAAATTAACCCTGCCTGCAGCAGTCCATAGCCTTGCTCCTGTTCCCGTTCTCCAGCTAGTTCCTCAGTGAAGTGGCCAAGCTGACCAGCAACCCTGAGGATAAAACTCTTACTACAGACAAATACGTCATAACTCACCACAGCTCTACTATCAAGGGTTTTATAGCGACTACTCTTAGTAAATACAGGTCAGATATATGTGATTTAAAGGCTTGATACGTAGCATAAATTTAAAAAAAAAAGGATTATTGCCAACACAGTGTTTCGATACTGTATATGTCACTTTATTTAAAACAGTCATTTACCAGCTGCTTTTAAATAACTTAAGAAACCGTGTATTAACAGCCAGCTGTCACCAAACAGTGCATTCTGTTTGCCTTGGCTGCATTTATGCAACTGAACCCCTCTACATTTATGAAAAGCATACTTCAACTGGATAGCTGAATACATTTTTTTCATTTTTGTTCTAGTAGCAGCATTTCTTTACATCTTCTCTTGACACAGGTCAGTCATTGAAGACTTGTTTTCTCTATGGACGTCCTGTTGCGCATTTAGCTGTGATAAGTGGGTTTTCAGCCAAGCTTTTCACTGAGTGCTAAGAGTGGGCAGCAGCAGAGACTGTTTTTATTTTCACTCTGTATTCAGGATTATCAGGTGCTACAAAAAAAAAAAACTGTCATAAATACAGATGAATCACAGACCAACGCTATCTAATCACTGTCACTCAGTTCATATAGACACACACACACACAAAAGCATCAAGATAGAGTCTGCATATTCATTCATAACCACACCTGCTCTGAAAATACTGATTAGAATGCCAAGCCATCATTTAATTATCTCTGTAAGCTAACGACATTCATTATCCTCATTGTAAGTGGGGCAAGAACAATCTTTATCATTTCCCTAAACCCCAGAGAATCCCTCTGATTTGGCATCTCTTAATGGGACCAACGTCAGCGCTGAATTGACGATATTCATATAGCTGACAGTCACTCTTTCAGTCTTTTATACCATTCACAGTTTATATTCACAGACATTATCAATGCTAAATGTCAGCTCTTTCTGGAGGTATCAGTCATGGTAGAAGAAGCATTTGTCATTACCTGCAAGCACTGCAATCCATCTATCTATCTATCTATCTATGTATCTACGTATCTATCTATCTATCTATACTCATCTACTTACCTATCAAACTACCAACCTACCTACCTACCTCCCTATCCACCAACAAACCAACCAACCAATCTACCTATGTATGTATCTATCTATCTACCTATGTATGTATGTATGTATGTATGTATGTATGTATGTATGTATGTATCTATCTATCTATCTATCTATCTATCTATCTATCTATCTATACTCACCTACTTACCAATCAAACTACCAACCTACCTCCCTATCCACCAACAAACCAATCTACCTATCTATCCTTACTTACCTACCTATCTAACTACCAACCTACCTACCTACCTACCTACCTACTTACTTACATACCTACCTACCTATCCACCAATCAACCAACCTATCTATCTATCTATCTATCTATCTATCTATCTATCTATCTATCTATCTCAGTCAGTTGTCTGTGTAAGCCTACCCCCCCACCCCCACCCCCTTTCTCTCTCTCTCTCTCTCTCTCCCCCTATCTCTCTCCCCTTCTCTCATGCACACTCGCGCGCGCACGGCCAAGCTTGGCTGCGTCAAAGAGTGGTACTTCTTTGACTGGGCTTCTCGCACACAGACGTGCTGCTCCTAGCGTCGGCACCTCGCAAGCACAGCAGTCACCTTCCAACCTCTGCGCCTCTCCCCCGCTCCTCTCGCGCGGTGGCAGTCTTTTAACAGAACGAAAAGGGACCGCTGACCGCCCACTTCGCCACATTACAGCACTCTGAAGACTTTCCCCACACTGGGAGATCTGCGCTTTTCGCTCTTTGCTATACCCGCAGAAGAGTCTATGCTCCACAGAAAAGCCGCGGCTGGTCGCTGTGCTGAGCCAGAGAGGGCTGCCGTGCGTCCCGGTGATGAGGTTGGTGGCGCACAGCCGACGAAGCGTTAAAGGAATCCTGCTGTATCCGAAGAAACCGCCCCAGTAAAGGGTCAAGAACGGGGGGAAAGCTGCGGGACCGGTGTCGGTTGGGACGCTACCATTCCAACTAGGATGCATCTCTTCAGTGCCATGTTCCTACTTGTGATGTTAGCTGTCATGCCCACTGAGGTAAGGACTCCGGCACAAACGCTTGCACGCGATAAATAATCATTGTTTAAAAGTTCCTAAATGGGTGTTTTAAGCCTGTTCCCAGAAATGGATCATTTAAAACAGATCCAGCACCCAAAAAGAGCTCTGGAAAGCAGTTGAAAAGGAAGAAAACTGGTTTTAAGTCAGTGTGAAGGCTGTATGCATGTTGCATCATTAAATAGGAAAATTGCTATTGTGCTGCCGTCTCGCAAATATGCAACGAAGCGAAGCTGGAGAGAAGGGAGCAGGAACGGTGGAAAGTTCTTGGAAGCTTTAGCGATATAGGAAAAGCTGCAGTTAACTGTAAATCCACCTGCACTGGAATAATTTGCCGTTTTATTGCGGTAATTAGACACACATAAATTACAGTTAGAGTGAGATGAGGGCCGGTCGCATTGTGAGAACAAACCCTGTCTTCTCATGAGAGAGAGAAAGAAAGGGATAGTGGGGTGATGTCCTCTTTTTGACAGGACGGATTTCTGAGGGCTCTGATATTTTTGACACCCTAGAGGTGTATCCCTCCATCACTGACAGAGGAGTCCAGAGGCTCCATCAGGATCTGGATTGAGCAGTGGGTGAACGGCTGCACTGACAGTTTGTTTACAGCTTCTATGTGTGATTCGTGGCTATGAATACAAACCATGCGTAATTGGAAGTGTTACCAAACCTGCGCCAACAAATGGTTGTATTCAGGAGATGTGTGATATGCCCCTGTGTCTGTGTCCATATGTGTGCGTGTGTGTGTGTGTTTGTCGTGCTGTAGTGCATGACACTCGAGGTAAGCTGTGTCCCTTTGGTAAAAATGACGAGCCCTGATGTGACAGTTGTAAATTGAAGTGAAGGACGGTAAATTATTTGACCCAGAAAAGCTTTCAGTGAAAGCAGGAGTATTTGAACTTGGAGGGGTTCAGCTGGTCAGTAGCAGGCAGTGTTCAGTGTAAGCCACGACCGCTTGGAAAGTGTCAAGTCTGCTGATAGAGGAGATACATTTTCTTCTGTCATGTGGGAATGTTATAATAGCCAATGACGAGTGTGTTGGGCAGCAGCTTGCAGCCACTTAATATCCACGCAGAAGTGGATTCAGGACCATGGACAGAGCTGTATCGAGCCTTCAGAGGTCTGAGGCAATTTCGCACCACAGACAGCGCCGATGTGGAGAAGGCCACCAGACAGACCTCAAGGCCTTCCACTAACAAAGAAAAACATTTACAGTCAGACATGAAAGATGCCGAAGATTGTGGAAAATATGATATTTTCTGTGTCAAATCCTGAAGTAAATGGATCACAATCTCTCGCAGTTAATCTTTGGAAATGTTTTCTGCATATTAAGAGCTCTATGGTGGTTTTCTTGTATTATTCCTGACTTATTCATAAAGCAGTTTGCTCAAACTTATACCAGTTAATTACATTAGCATATATTTTCATTTTAATCGTCCATTAAATTGAGCTTTCTGTTACTATGTTGTGAACAAGAAAACGTGGCCCACGGCATTACTAATTTCTGATGCTCTTGTAGCTTGTCTACTACTATCCCATGGCCATCCTTTTAAGTATGCCCTAATGTCTTCTAGGCTGTTTGTGGAAGGTAGGTGGGCACTGCACTTGACCTTTAACAGGAGAGGAAACTACATTATGCTTTTATTCAACAAGATACACAATGATGGTGAACAAGCGGTACCATCCACCTGAGTGCCAGGGGTCAAAGTAATATTTGTATAGCACAGATGGTGTTAGAGGAAAACTGAGTGAGTTTATTTTGAGAGTTATGAAATAAGATAGAGAACCTCCCTGGGCTCTAATTTAACCATCACATTAAATACAAGAAGATGTGTTATGTCTCTAAAGTGTGGTTTATTTCTTAATGCTTAGAAAAAATTTGGACTGAAAACAACTCGACTCTTTGAACCTGAGCTAATATAAATTCAAGCACTCTAGCTGTAAATTAAATAACTTGGTGTTCTTGAGGATATGAACTGTCAGTGTTTAACACCGTCTAACACGCCACTGCAAAAGTATCGGGTGACTTTCTATCATATCTCAGCCCCTGCTTTAGTGGGTTCACACTGTAATTGCCCTTAGGGGACAATTTGTTGTAAGTGTTTGCATGAAATATTTAAAGAGCTAAAAGAAAATACGTCGCCACCCAACTCTCAAAGACTCCGCGGAAAGCATAAAGAATTGATGAATTCTCGCGCATCTTCTGCAATGAGGCTAACATTCCCTGTGAGTGCAGTTATGATACAACATATTTCAGTCACAGTCTCGGCACAGGCTGGTATGAAATATTTAGAGGGCTTTAATGAGACAGATGCACTTGTTCTCACTGCATGTGTTTGTTAAGTACCCATAAAGCCCATGGGCCTCTGTTGTTAGGGGTACAAATGGGCACCTGCTTGACCTTGGTGCAGATGTCTTGTTATTGTGCACATATAAAGCCAAGCATGACCGAACACAATGACACCTGTGCACATAATGTTCCTGGCCTGGAGGAAATATGGAGCGAAGGAGAAAATATGAAGACAAAATATTTCTGAATAAGTACTTTTACAAATGTCCTCCCTCTGAGTACATTGGCATTGTCGGGGATATGAAAGGATAATTTCAAATGAAGTTATGGATCTCTTCCTTCCAAAAGTTCGATATATAATTAAGGATTTTGTAAAAACAGTCAATCCTTAAAGTGTAAACTTTTTATTCAGTTGCTAAACACACAAAACAAAATAAAAGACATTAGATTAGAAACCTTTGAATTTCAGTTAAATTCAGAATACTTCTCCAGTTTTCATTATATCATTATTCACAGGACAAAAAACTGAATTCCTGAACACTTGCTGAAATGTAAAAGATGCACATGCACATCAAAAACATGCAGTTTGAGAAAAAACTATGTGGTGTTATTATTGGTCAGGCACACTGAATTTCTTTTGATCTGTATTTTGCAAAATGCGATTGCAAGCAGAAATGATGGGAAGATCATGAGACTGCTCTGCAAGGGTTTGATTACTTGGGATGCAAGTTTTCTGCAGAGACAGAATTTGCTTTGGAAATAAAATGTTTTATTTAAAGCTCTTTTAGGCAAGTTTCTCTCTCATTTTGGCACCTCTTATAGACAAAGCAGCACTTGATTCGTTGTTTTGTCTGATACATGAGTGTTTTAGGTTCACTGCTTCATTTTAGGGATCAAATGAATTGACTAGCAATAACATTATGAACATCTGAGTGATCTAATGCAATCCAACAGCTTTACTGCAAATTCTGCTCCCATAAAGCTACTAGGTTTTCAGTTTCTGATCAGGAGAGTGATTATTTGACTTTTATATTTATAATTGAGGATGTAATGGTTGATGTACCAAAGTGTGTGATGTTCAAAGGTGTTCCTTTTATCTTGTCCGCACCATCTTTCAATATAGTGGACATAATTGCACCATCGACACCAACTGCAACTTCAACAACTTCTTCAACAAGAGAACAATTATTGTCAGTCTGTCCATTGGCATCCACCTCACCTGTGGTTTCTGGCTTTAAATATAACCACGAATAAATAGTCAAACTTTGGACTGATTATTATAAATTATATGTAGGTCATAAATATACATCAGTATCAATTTCAGTCTGTTTCTCAACCAGATGAAATCTCCTCACAGGAACTTTAAATGTAGCAAACAAGAGTTCATGTGAACTACAGCAAACATGGGGAAAAAAAACATCTAAAAGAGTGAGCAAACATCTATTTCATTACAAATGAGTAACCTTTAAATTTGGCTTGTAAAAGTAAATGGATAAATAAATATCATCCAAAGATACTCAGAGGGTTACTCTGAGTGGAAAACATGTTTTAACCGTGACTCTGGAGCTGAAAATAAATTTAAGGCTTTTAAGTGGCTGACCTTCTGAGTGCCTTGGATCTGTTGAAAAAAGCTTACACAGACAGTGGACTCCCACACTGAAGTGCACCAGAGACACCTGTTTTATCTACACCCTCTCCACACCTGTGAAGCACGCCATGCTTCTGTTTCTGATCTGTTCGAAACAAAGACTCCCATAACCTTACACCGCACTTATAAATGGGAATGTATTTAAGAGAAAGTTTGTATCAAATTTCCAAATTTGTTTTTGTGCAAAAATCAAACAGATTTATTAGGAGAATGTGAAACATGTCCACGCAAAAATGTCTGAAAAGACCAGACATGTTTGTATAGTTTTGTTGAGTTGTTTAACTACATTATTCCAAGTGTTTCCAAAAAATCAAGAGTTTATTGAATGTAACAGTTGGCGCTGAAAACAGCAGATGATACATCTGACAATGAGAAGGAAAGCCAGGGAGAGATTTTCTGCTTTTTCTATTACTCACTCATGATGGTGCATGATTATTCATGAGCAAATGGGCATCATTTCTATACAGCGTGAACACATCAGAGATGCGAGGCCTCATCCGTAAACTCTCTTAGTCGCCTCCGACAGAGTCTTCTCTGCAGTTGTGGATGTTTGGAAACAAAACTAACAAGCTCCGTGATCATAACTCCATCGGCTCAAGTATGTTGTTTATGTTGGGGTAAATTCCATATTGCATATTTCAAAGTTAAAGACTCACTCCAATGTAAATCATGTTTTTCTTGTTTTTTATATGTTCATATGGCATTTTTTTCTGATGCTACAGGATATATCATGAGGAAACTAAATGTGAAATTGCTTTTCTGAGAATTTCTTCATTCAAATCACTGTGAATCTCTGGCAGAAACAGTGAGAGTTCATATGTAACCAACCCAAGCTCCACCCCCGGAGACCGGCTATGCAGGCCACACTCCAATACACAATCATACAGAGGACGATCGCGGAACAAGCGTGTGCGTTAGCAGACTGCAAAGCTCGTAAGAAAGCTAATTATGATATTAAGTTTCATCATGCCCCTAAAGACATTAGCGTCCAAGAGTTGAATAGCTCCTATGTTACCTGCCACTTTTACTACGCCGGCAATGTTAGGCTGCAAACTAACATGGAGACGAGTGTGCAGAGTAGCGCTGTCTCAGCCCACGACTAAGAGGTGAAAACAATCAGAGTGGGACTTTAAAGGTAAATGTAAATAGCATTTCTGAACTATTTTAATGTTAGTTGCTTTTAATAATAACTCTTAGGTGTGTTTAAAAGACTCACATTCAGGCTTGGAGGCATGTTATTTAGGCTGTGGTCCCACTGGGGCAGGAGAGCACCACAGAACTTAAGTTATCCGTTCAAGCTGTCTGGGCCCCTGGACTCCTGTGAGTGATGGAGAGTGGAATGAACACTTGCTTTGGTGTTTTTCTGCTCAAACAGCGGGTGCAGTGGGGGAGAAAACCTAATTGCTTGTCATTCTCAAAGAAGGAGGCAGAACCCCGTGTAAGCAATTGGCTGGATTTTTCAGTAATTTACTTGATCCTTTCTCTCACCAGGGATCACAATAAACAATCAGTCTGAACAGACTAACATTTAGGACCTTGTTAAGTTGTGTTTCCTCATTCTGAAATGGTGTGATGATTGAACCTGAAACTCACCCAGCCGAGGTCGATTTATTGCGAAAAGACGAGTACTGTAAAAGTAAGAGCACTTGTAAATCACACAGCAGTTTAAAACATCATTTGGCACAACATTTAGTTTATTTACATTGAGGCAATTATACAGTACTTTAGTGCTGTAATATAAGTGTCACTGAGCTGAGATGGTTTTATTGATCTGAGTAAAAGAGCACAGGAGCCTTCTGCTGCTACACTGAGAAGGCTTCAATAGCTTTATGTCAGTGTTGGCTACAAATCTGACAGATTATAATAATAATTATTATCACGAGACAAACAAACAAACAAAGGAAAGTTCTGTAGAGGGGTTAGCTGACCAAATACTAATGACGTGCAGTGAGGCAACATGTAATGTAGGGCTTGACACTAACTTTTTCCACAAGGAGCACACAAAGAACTTTAGGGGCACGATGAAAATTGATCAAATAATGTTTGTCTTATTAGTTGACATAAGTACTGTTATTTGAAATCAGTTTTAGGTCTTTTGGTCACATGACATTGAAGCTATTGAAGAAAATGTTCAAAATTTGCTTTAAATTCAACACAATTTTTTTTAGAGGATAAATTAGGGAAATAAAGAGGTGTGTCTTTTCGTCCGACCTTAGTACTATATTTGAAATCAATTTTAGGTCAATTGGTCACATGACATGGAAGCTGTTGAAGGAAAACAGCCTTTTTTGAGAACATCAACCGGTGATTTATTGATGGTCCCTTATTCATTGATGGTCCCTGCTGTTGCTATACCCATTAATGGAGAGTGAGAAAACACCAGTAGATTCACCGTGAATGTCCGGTGAGTATCCAGCCTAAAACTAACTTCACCGCAGTATTTACATGAAAAAACATTTGTTGCTGATTTTTTTTTATGCACACATCTGCCCCTAAATACGTTTTACAATTCACACACATCTATTTTTTTAGTCGCAAATGTGAGTGAAACAGTCGCACTGTCAAGCCCTGTAATGGCATCAATGACAGACCAGAGTCATGCAGGACAAACAGCATGGTCGGCTTACGTCTAATCAAGACAGCTTTAAACAGTCCACAGACCTGGCAGTGACACTTGGGCCAAAAATCTCTTTTCCTGGTCCCAGTCCAGCTAGAAAATCAGCTTTATCACAATAAAGGCCTCACAGACGCGAGTATAATCGAGCCAATTATGGTAAATTTCAGTCATTGTCCGCATGCCAAAAACCTGTAACACATCAATTTTGGGAAAACTGTCAAAGTCATTAAAACCTTTTAACAATTACTCAAAGATTATTCCATCCCGCTGTGTTCTCATGTGAGCCTACCTATTAAAAGCTTACAGGTTTGAGGCTGAGCAGGAGGAGGATGACAGGAGAAGACGAACAGAGATGTGAGTCTACGTTTCAGACTCTCAGAGAGGAAAGGACAGTAGGAGCGGTAAGACTGGACAGAGTGTGCTCTGCCAAGCAGCAGGCTAACCTCCACCTAGAGAATTAAACAAATGAAAAGCTGCAGGAGCAGGGGCGTAAATCTGCCAGTGAGACACAAAGACACACACTCAACTGGTAAAATCACCTTGCTGTGCTACAACAAGCTTAGTGCTTGTCTGTTATAGGAGAATACGGGAACATTACATACTTTCCAAGGAGTGTGGCATTACAGTATCATGTAGTTATCTGAACCCCGTTTTATAATAAATGTTGATATGTGAGCTTTACCTTCACGTGTTTGCTGCTCAGATGAGCTATCCACACAACCTCCTTTCTGTCCCCTGTCTGTCGCTAACAATCATGTCTAGCACCATGTGGGTGAGTCCACCTCCACACACTCCCCATTAATATACAAAGGTGCTGCTTCACAATCAGCCACAGATAATGAGGTTGCATTATGTGTCGCGGCTGCTTGAAGAGATTGAATAGTATGTGCTTGTGTTATGACTGATTAGGCGAGAGCCGGAATCAGTGCCTGATAATGATACCACATTATGTGACTCAGAAACTTACAACTGTAAAGAGATTTGTTTCATAAAAGAGACGCTGCTTAAAAAAGGGGGGGACCAGAGCTCTGAGAGCTGTTGAGCTTTTGTGCTGTCCGCTGTTCACTCTCATCTTAATGTTTGATGTGCTTTCATGTAGCTGCTGCTTCATCATCACAGGCTTGTGTTTGTGTGAGAGGAAAATGTGTACACACACACGCACAGGCATTGAACAGCAACCCCTCCAACTGCAGAACAAAAAAGGAAAATGAATTAATCTATTTATTTCTGAGGTATGGGGAAAGATGGCTAATTCAAGGTTCACAATTACAGGGATATTCTGACGTAAAATTAAGTCGGAAAATATCATATACCTCATGGATGTACTGGACATCTGTGATTGTTTTGCAGCATTGACGTAATTCAATTCCAAACCTGGAGAAACACATTTTAAAGGGATATTCCGACGTAAAATTAATTTAGGGTCAAAAACACCATAACACCGAGTTAGACACCCCCTCGAGAGATTAATGTGGCCGACCGCTTTCCTCTCTAGTTATACTAATTTTAGTAACAACCGCAGACAGCAATACAGAGAGCCACACGCTCAACCAAAACGCCACTCTATAGCCACAAATAATGCTCAGAACAGCACCTAACTTCATCAACAGTACATATAGGGTCCTAGCCACAGCACTAGCCATCAAATACTTTTAAGCTTTGCATAATTTTTTTTAGCAAAGAGACTCACCTACTCTCTTCCAGCAGTCACTTGTTTGTACGGAGACCGCCGGGCGAGTCCATCGACTGCAGCGGGATGTCACAGCTCAAGGAAGAACATTGATGATCATTTCTTCATGGAAATGCAATCAGACTAAGGTGCTAAGGCAGAAGAACTACCGCGTCTGCAGTGCAAAATGATTAATATGGTGATTATTACTTCAAGGAAATGATAAAGTGATGATCATAAATGTTCTTTATTGAGCTGCGTCACCCAACTGCAGTCAATGGACTCGCCCGGAGGTCTCCGTACAAACAAGTAGCTGCTGAAAGAGAGTAGGTAAGTCACTTTGCCAAAGAAATTAGGCAAAGCTAAAAAGATGTTTGGTGGCTAGTACTATGGCTAGGACCCTATATGTACTGTTGATGAAGTTAGGTGCTGTTCTGAGCATTATTTGTGGCGTTTTGGTTGAACGCGTGGCTCTCTGCATTGCTATCTGCGGTTTTTACTAAAGTTAGTACAACTAGAGACGCAAGCAGTCTGCAACATTCATCTCTCAAGGGGTGTCTAACTCAGTGTTACAGTGTGTTTTGACCCCAACTTAATTTTACGCCGGAATATCCCTTTAAAATGTGTTTTTCCGGGTTTGGAATTGAATTACATCAATGCTGCAAAACAATCACAGAAGTCCAGCACATCCATGTGGTATATGATATTTTCTGTGTGCATGGTTTGGTTGTTGATGATCTTCTACCTGTTTCTGGGTCAGTTTTCTGAATGTGGCTTTAAATGACTCACACAGGGGTGATATTAGCGCGCGATGATGGCGACAAGCTTTTTTCACAGAGCGGTCTGGGGTGAAATGGGTGACTGATTTTACTACTGCAGTGCCTCACATGAGGCACAGAGGCAGGCAGCGGCTTGCGTGGTAATTGGTTAACAGATGGAGCGCCGGGTAGAGAAAGCGTGTGAGGTCAGCAGCCTGACTGTCAGACTGGTGTCCCTGTCACTGCCGCACCCCCCTGAGGAAGACAGAGAGTGGCGGTATGCTCTTACCTTTCAAGCTGGAATGGCATACTTATGTGGGAGCAAATGTGATAACCCACTTTATTTGAAACACTAAAATAAAACTACAACCGTATCAAAAGAAAACTTAACTTCTGACTTTGCACTGAGAGGATTTTACTGCCGGCTTATGAGGATTGTAGACTCATAACTCCTCTTACTCCCCACTGAAAGACGCTGCTACAAAAGCAAAAACAGATCCTGTGTGTGGTATCATTTGTTCTGTATGCTTTTAACTCACTCAATAGGTGGGCCTGTTCAAGTTCCATTTGTTTAAAGCCATGTGGGATGAAAAATTTCGCAGGTTTTTCAGAGGACAGTCAGCAACGCATGCTCCCTTCAAACGGGAAAGGATGAAAGTCCAACCTTCATGGTATTCAGTCCAATTTTAATGACCACTTATTCATTCAGAGCCACAGATGGGCCACTACTTCTGCTCGGGGGCTGTGTGGGCTCTAAATGACCTCTGTTACTGTTTTCTGTCTTGTTGTAAACCCAGTGGCCGGCTGGCCTAAAATGAACATTAACTTTCCCGTGGAGTGCGCTGGCTGACTTCAGGGCGGCTCAAAACCGTCATTAGAAAAGGTCTTTGAGGTCTTTGGGGAGCGAGCACTAAATATGGATCTCTCTCATTTGAACAGACATAGTTAACCTGGCAGCTTACCAGCAGCCAGCTGTACACTCAGGAACTCGTCGCTATTTTTCATGTAGCAGGATAGAAAATTAGATTTACATTGGTCCTCTGAGCCTCAACTCTCTCTTTGTGACCCTCAGAAAATTTCACATTTTCCAATCAGTGCACAGAATATCCCGTCTGCTCATATATCTATAGGATGTTACTTGTTCTTGTTGTCAACAGTGAATTGAAGGATCGGCTTGACTGGTGGGGTGAAAATCATCCCCGTATCAGCCCCCGTATCACATTCTCTCCCCCACTTTTCCTCTTTGCTTCGGTGTGAGTGTGCTGGAGGATGCAGGACTCCCAGAGGTTTATGTCTGTGACTCTAAGCAAGAGTGACATTTCTCTGACAACACCCAGAACAGGCACCGAGACGCACGCACACACGCACACGCAGTCTCATATTCGCACACACATTGTTTTTTTTTTGTCTCCCTTTCTGCCTCCCCTTTTGCTCCCTAGTTCACAAACATGTCAGCGGTGGCATCCCGGACAGACAAGGAGCCAGACGAACGCTTAAAATCGACACCGACAAAAACGTCTGAGACGGCTCAGTGTGTCAAGGGTTAAAGTATGAGTGACAGCTGCCAATCAGAGCATAAGCGGGCTTGATCATGCGGTTGATGGTGGACATGCTGGGTGAATACACATGTAACCTTAGTAACCGCCACCATGGGACTCACCCAATCACATTTTTGCATCCATCTGCTTTTTTTTTTTTTGCATTGCAGTAGGCACCTTCTGACCAGTTTTTCTGCACGACCTTGCTTTCCCCTGCTCGATGAATCTTTTATGAGCCTGGCAATGTGGGTTTCTGTGTAGAAGATTGGAATATAAATATGGCTGTTGCGCCTAGAGCTCCTCTTCCCGCTCTGATACAAAAGCTTTCATAAGACTGAGCAGATTGGGCAAGCTGCTACTTGAACAGTGCTCTTCACATCTCTTTCGCTTTTATCAGAAGACACACATCCCCCTGTTTCAGAGACCGTGATGCGTTCTCACACACACCGCACATAAATTTCTGCTTCCACCTGCCTGATCACAGAGCCGGACAACAAACCGCACTCTCCTGGGAAATCCTTCTTCAACAAATATGTCAAATTATTCGTGAGGGATCTTCATGCACAGTAAAGTTTGCCGAGTTAATTACAAACGGCGCACATTTGTGTCGCGGAGCTGAGAGCTGTAGCAGCCGTTGACATTGAACGAGACGTGATCACAAAGTGTCAGAGTAAATCTTTGTTGAACTCTTCAGACTGCGCTACGCCTCTGTCTCTCTTACTACCGCTTTCTGTTTGGTTTCTTTGTCTCTCCTTCTGCTCCCCGTTTCAAATGATCCTTCCCTAACTTTATTCCAGAGAACCCTCTTCTCACCGCCATGTGCGAGTGTGACAGCATCGCCTCCCATTTTAAAAGCTAACTCAATTGCAGAGCTTTCATTTTAGGGGGGATGAAGGATGAGAGCTATGCGGCGCAGCAGAGGCGGGTGGCAAGAGGAACCATTTAATCGATGTGTTTTCCACGTGGCACTGTCACTGCCACTCAGTAGGGCCATTGATGAGGGAGGCTCTCTCTCTGACTGCGCCAAGGCTTAAAGGCTCCAGTCAGGGAGGCGTGGGAGCCCAGCAGCCACCAGACACTGCTGCATATCAAGCAGGCTGGCAGAGCTGCTCCCTGCAGCCCCACGGTGAGCAGGGGAGAGAGGACCTTTGATAGAGACACTACATGTAGGAGAGAAGAGATAACAAGATGCTCAGTGGAGGGAACAGCAGCTTACATTATATTATGCTGCCTGATTCTAAACCCCTGGGACTTTATCCAAGTCTAAAAAAAACACACAGAGACAAAGTAAGGTGTAACTCCGGATGTCAACACCACGATTCAAAAAGGGCCACAACTGAAGACCTCATGCTGCTAATTACGAACCCACTGCATATTGTATGAGAGAGAAAGTGAAATATGGAGTGATATGTGAAGTATTGATGACACTTTCTGAAAGAAATGCGATCTAGCTTTGATGGATTACACGAAGTGGGAGGAAATGATGAAACACGCCGACTTTGGCGTTAATTTTTCATGGATCACAGGGCTCAAATTCAGATAAGCATATTAGTGGGAAAGGAGCTTTTCTAAAAGAGAGCCAAATCTTTTGAGCAGGACCGTGATTCCATTACTCATAATAGCCTTTTGATTATTCATCAATTAAAAAACAACTTCTAAAACAATGGGTTTGAGCCTGCCCTGATTTCTCCTTCTCGAGCACGTTTGCCTCTTTTTAATAACAGCCTGCACAGAGAGCTAAATGTAGTTCTTGCACAACCCAAAAAAGAGCATCCCCTACTCTATGAGAAAATTTGCGATTGATATGCATACTGTACATGCATCTAGGGCTGCACGATTCATCGATTTTAAATCAGATTGGACTATTTGATTATGACGATGTTAAAATAATTAAAATCATCAAATCTATTTTCCTCTTCTATCCTGTCTTGCGCCTCCAGGCCACTGTATGCTCCCCATTCCTGTGGGAGTGCTCTTCAGTTCCCACACACACCAGTGTAAACAAACGAAGAGTTTACAAAAGAAGGTGATAATTTCGTGGCTAAACAGGGCAGGAGTAAGTCAGTAGTGTGAGCAAACCACTCTCCGCTGCAAAGTCTGTCTGAAAGCAGTATCAATCCGTCCACACGTCCCCGTCTCGAAACAAATTCAGGAGTAAACACAAACGTTTTTTGTCGAATTGGCATTTCATCCACACGGAAACTGCGTTTTGGGTGACTGTAAATGGTGCTTTTTGAAAACGGGTATAAGTGCATGAATCTAAAACGACCACCATTTCATCTCTGTGTGGATGTCTATCTGCATCTCTCAAACGATTATGTGAAACACAGCGTAACTCTTTTATGGTGCCTGCGCAAGTCTGGCCAAAACAATTTGCGGAGTTACAGCACCACTCACTGGCTTGGCATATGCAGTACATCGTTTCAGTGGTTTCGTTTTGAGAAATGATAGAAAACTTATCAAAGTGAAGTTTGGTGTCGTTGTCACTGAATAAAAAATCTAAATCTAAAATCGAGTTTTCAGAGAAAAAAAAAAAAAATCGGGATTTTATTTTTGGCCAAAGTCGTGCAGCTCTACATGCATCTGAATGCAACAAAACCATTAGCATAGCATCACTGTATAAAACACAGCTTCCCGTACAGAACAAACTAGAACTTTCACAATGTCGATCACTGCCAAGGCCAATGTTTTATTTATTTTTCTTTCGTTATAATCCAAATGTACAAGTGCAACCACAACAAACTATCTATCTCGAGGTAAATCCAAAAACTACAAGAGTTCAACAGGTCATCATGATTATTTCAGATGTCTGAGTTTTATCTGGATCTTCTCCAAAATGTATCCTATTCCACAGGAAGTTTCATATAAATCAGTTTTTCCATAATCCTACAGAAATACAAGCACCTGTTCTTGGCAGGGATAATACACCAACAACTAATGCACAAACACACATACATTCACTGACAAACACACAGGCTGTATGAAGGTGCAGGGAACTGCAGATGCTGTGGTGATCAGGGCTGGTTGTAAGTATCAGAGCACAGAGGATGAGAGGATGTGGATGCTGAATTAATGCCCAGTGGAGTAGATGAGTGGGGCAACATGGCTAGAAGAGTGGGGGGAGAGAGAGTGCGAGAGAGGAGAGCACAAAGTGAAGTAGCAGGAGATGAAAAAAATGAAAGACTGTAGAAGGAGATGGAAGGAGACACAGAGAAAGTCTCCTCCAGACTGTGTCTGCAGGGCGGTTATCTCTGCCATCCTAACCAAAAGGAGAATAATAATTAGAGGCCCGTTGCTCTGTCACCATGATTTTTTCCTCTTTACTGGCACTGACACTCCTTACAGATTGTCTTTAATTAGCCCCACGTTGCTCAGTCAATACAGCCATGACCATGACAGAACAACGGCATGTGCATCCTGTCACTTTGGCAAGAGTAGGCAGCAGGAAGAAAGGACAAAGTGATGACAGACAAGATGAGAGAAGAAAATGATGTGGAGTGGCATGTCTGTGAGAAGAAGGGTGGGGGAAGAAACGTCATGCTCTGATAAAAACCTGCTCTCATGATGATTACAGTCTGCACTTGTTTATCTTATACTGACTTTATAAACTTGTAGATGTGTGGATGGATTAGAAAAGAAACAGTTTGAAGTCAGTTCAGCTGTTTCTGCCAGTTTATGTTACAGGATCTAATGCAGTGATCCTGGTTATATTTTTGAGCTGCAGAGCTGAGTGCTTCAGCCACGCTAATGGTGATGTGATGAATAGGTATTCAGGAGAGGTCTCTCTCTCTTTAAGCTCTAATGCCTCAGGCTGCCGGCCCTCTCAGGCCCAGCTCTCATCTCTTACTTCTCTCAGTGAGGGGAACAGCATGCAGGGAGCTGCTGCAGAGATCTTCAGAGAGGAGGACTCGGCTCTTGTCATGCACATTTTTCTACTTGGCATGTTCTGGATTAATATCTGCGGCTGTCATGCTTTCATCTTTTGTCAAATCAGTCCTGAACCAAATTCTAAAATGTAATGCGAGTGCCAATAAATTATATATCAAAAAAAGGAACAAAAACATATCATCATCGGGAGTGCGAAAGATAAAACTCTTGAGCCCTTGCATTCTTATAAAACTGATCATATTTTTATATTGTTATGTAAGGGTGGACCCTCGCATATCCCCCATTAAAATTCAAATCAGTGATTTGATTGGAGGGTGTCAAAAATGTCCTCAGACTGTTTTTCCTCTGAGAATCGTTTTAAAGGGATATTTACGCCATTCTTATCCCCATGCTTAGAGGTAGAATCTCATTTTGGGTGCATCCTTTTAAGTTTTACTCCCGGCAATCTGGGAATTTCGACAATGATATGTCTCAAGGGGAACAAGCAGCGGAGTCACAGACTGTCATGTCGTAAAGACAGGCTAGAAAATATTTATGTTAACGATTAGCAAAGGAAGCACCTCCTTCAGGGAAAATCATCTCCCATCCCCTTTACGTGCCGCGTGGAATATTAATGCGAGGGGTGGCCTTTTCTGATATCATATCTCCCAGGCTGCGCTCAAAAATATCATCATTAAACTCTGAGGATCTGTGTCGTGCTATGAGTAAAGACAGCATCCTGCTTCGACTGAAATGCTGCAGAAAAGCACAGACAGGCTGTCGAAAGTTAACTACAGAGATACTTCTTCTAAATGTCGGAAAAACAGAATCGGATTTATTGTCAAGCAGGTTACACATATGAGGACTTGGTGTTTGTTGCATGACAGAATAAGAGGCTGGAAATAGATGCAAGGCAGTGAAACAACATCAAACCCTTCCTCATGATGATGTTGTTATAATGTCGACATTTCATTAAAGTCCACTGCTTTTAACATTTATTGTCACGTCTGAGTTTCACTTCTAAAGATAACAGATTTAAGCAACATCACACATAAAGAGTGTTACGAAACATAATAAAAGCGTAGCAGTGACTCAGAAACAGGCATAAAGCCTGAGCAGAGTGTCAAATATTTCACAGTGTGCTGATATTTTAACCTGGATTGGTGATATCACGTTAAATGACAGATGCACAAGCAGCACGAACTGGCATGTCCAGAGCTTTTCGACAGGGGAGGCCCAGCCGGGTTGCATCAAGTCAGATCTGTCATCGAATACAGAGTCGCAACAGACGAACCTTCTCGGCTTGTTTTTGTGAGGATTCAAAAAAACAATTCGATACTCACAAAAATACAAGCTTCAAAACTTTGCCAATAAATGTTTTTCAGTCATGAAATCTCACATTTTTGTGCTTTAGAGGGTTTTTGCAGCAGCTGAACACTGTGTCTAGAATCTAGGCTCCTACCTAATAGCTCCACACAATTTACTTCTACATGCAGAAATTGAAGAGTAATGAGACAGTATGTTTGAACCTCTCAGTTGGAGCCTGCAGGTGGATGCTGGGGTGACAGTGGGACTGGAAATTTTAAGCACAGCAATGGCAGAAGCAAAGCAGAGGCAGAGAGCTGGAATCTTGCAGCTTTTACGGAGCCCCTAATTGGGAGGACACGTGTGTCACAGGATCATGAGAGTAACCCATGTTAAGTGTAATTCAGTGCAACTAGAGCTGCCTGTCTGAACTAGTTGCAAGCTTTGCTCCATTTTTGACAGTATAAGACAGTTATGAACAGTATTTTTCTACAATTTAAAGAACCAGTACTTTTAAATGCAAAGAAAGCCACTGGCCGCCTGTTGAGGATACTAAAGATTTAATTTTAACAAAATCCAGACTCCAATGAGGGAAATAGTCAATCATTGTTTGGAATTATAGCCCTTAAATGCCAGAAACCACAAATTATAGGCAGAAAATTCAATTTCTTTTGGAGCTGATATGTTTATTTCACTTACTACTGACAACCCCAGAAATCAAAATGTCCTTAAAATTGAACAAATATATTTATTTATCTCATTTTATGCATTAGATGTTTTTAGAAACTGATAAACCACAAGAGGACATTTTTTATCGTACTGTATTCAGGTGGGTTTTTTTAGTAATTTGTTGATCATATTGATTGACCATAAAAGTATGTATCAAATATGATACAAAAGGCATTCAAGGGTTAGGGTGTCACTTGGGGTGGCCAATAAGATCTCAAAGTGGACCCTATCTAGATACACCCCTGGCTGCATACAGTAATGAACAGTGATACCTAATAATTCACTTTGCTTCTCTGACAAAAATAGTTCCGCTTTGACTGGAGCTGAACTGTCTCTGACGGCGTCTTAAAGGGACAAGAGACCATAACCTACCTACACACATCCAAAACCAACTTCTATTTATTATTTTCTTGATACCAAATATACCGATACGGACAAAATGAAGTTGGTTATTGTCGTAAATTTTGGTATCATAAATTTTTGGTTTATCGCCCAGCCCTAATGCAAAGTTTCATTTATTTTAAGACTCCTGCAGCAACACAGATACTCTAAAGCAACAATGTTTTCTGATTTAATGAAGCATCATGTTTGCAACTTCCCAGACATCTGAGCATCAATAACACAGTAATTGTGCATTGTTTGTGAATTGTTCCATTGTTAAAGTAACACACACTGTACTGAGACTCTTGTGTGTTTCTCTGTACAGCACTAACAAAGCACTTCCACAACCGTTGTGTGCCCTCTATTACACATACCAGCACAGGACTTCACAATCAGACACTGTTTCTTCGTTTTATCGTAAAGGGGCTACATTTCTAGAAGGCAGGGCTGTTCCAAAGCACACAGACGTTACACACAACAGAATCGACACTTGGCTGTAAAATTGAGACATGTTCCGACATTCATTACCAGTGTGTATCTGCCACACATTGCATCTGTTGCTGTGAGCTCCAGCTTGATGATCCAGAGCATTCCCCTGTGGTGAAGAATCAGACTCTCCAGTCACTCTTTACCATCAGAGCCAACCGCTCCCTCTTCCCTTCCGCCAACACCTTCCCACTCAGAATACTTCTCATCTCACACTCGGCTACCTCCGCAGAATATTACCCCCTTTAAAATATTCAACCTCCAGCCTCTCATTTCTGCTCTGTACACTCATTTTCTCCAGTTTGTTGATGTTTACTGTCTCATTGTTTGTTTAATCACTGAATGGATCGGCGGCGCCTCAATTTTGACAACGCAAGCAGAGACTTTACAGATTATACGTCTGGAATCATCGGAAGGGTATTAGGGGATGGTACAAAGGACACAAGCGAACACAGGACTGCTTATTAATACTAATAATACGTTTTTTCCTTGTTCTAGCAGCAAGGCAACCTCCCATTAAAGCACACAGTGACAAGCTAATTTGCTTTTCTACAAGTTTCTCCTAACCCTCTTTGCCCAGAACTCCATTTGGCTGTAAATGTAATATTGAGTTAGAGGCTGTTTTGGGATTTCTCTCCAATGCACACTGAGCCTGTGTTATACTAATAATGTGTCCCTAATTAAATGTTACAGCTTCTCTGAGCATTAATGACCTGAAGACAGAGGATACAAATGGAGACTGCAGTGTGAGCTCAGACAAAGAAGCTGGACACGAGACTGCAGGCTGCTTCTCTCCCTTCATGACTAATATGCACTTATAGCTGATGGTCATTGTTTGCTCCTGACCATGTTGAGAGCGGAGCAGTAAGATTATTTATTACATTTTTTTAGAATTGGCTGCTGCAAACTCTCAGTCAACTAGGCTGTAATTGGCAGGATCTCACCAATCCTCTCTGGTCCTGTTTGCTCCGCTGTTGCAGACGTGGCAGAAAACAGACAAGATGTAAATTCACTACCTTGGGGAGTCTCAAATGCATCAACTGTTCTTTTCTCTCTTTTCTCTGCCTTTCTCTTTACCTCTTCTTTGCATCCGTCATTTCTATAACCCATTTAGTCCGTCTCCTTTGTTATCCTTATTTCCCTCCTGTGTAACCTACCTCAGTGATTAGTCAATCATGGTGATATCTCCGCTCTGTGGCTGGGTGATATTCGTAAACAATGACTCAGACGCAGATCAGCGGTAGTCATCTACAGTGTAGAAAGGCCAAAGCACCTAGCATCAGCTCGGAGCTCTTCTGCAACACACAAAAAAAAAAAAAATAGATGAATAAATTTTAAATGAAACAAAGCACTTTGCCAGCAGGGTAATAAAACAATGAAATGGCACTCAACAGCAGCAGTTCAGAAGCAGATTCAAAAATGCTCTCATCAGCAGTGCTCTATATTGGGGTCTTAAACAGACTTGTAAATATTAGCATTTAAAAATACATTGTGTTTATCAGTTCAAAGAAATTTAGCTGGCCAATACTCAGCTGAAGAAAAGTTAACATCTGGATGAAAAAACTCAGTTATTCTGGGGGATAAGGACTGGGCCAGCATCCTGAGTTCACTGAAGGGCACACTGAATAGGGCGGGGTATCGTCAATTAGCATGCTTTCTTTGAGCCCCAGACATCTTTCTGTTGAACTGACGACTTCCAATTCGCTGTCAGTAATTACTGCATTTACAGGAATAGCTTTCCCGACACACACAGAGAATGTTTGATTAGCAGGTTGGAAGAAAAGGTCAGGATGTGGCATTGGCTTTCTGCTGCTGGATCCAGGACAAGCGCGGACATTGCGGGTCACTTCTAATCAGGTCATAGAGCCGGGAAATGATCATAGTAATTGTGTGTGTTTGAATGAGTATTTGTATGCATGTGATGATGCCAGAGTGCCTCTGTGTGCGTGTGGGCAATTCAACTGGGCACATTTAGCACAGGAAGTGCAGCAGTGAGATGTATTCAGCTGGTAATGTTGGCATGAGTAGGAGCAGAACAGTGGATGGAGACATGCTGTGCTGCAGAATGCATGGCAGCTGATTGCCATGCCATTGCTTTGATCAAGGCTTTTTTTCAGCGGGCTTCCAGCAAAATGTGGCGCCCTGCATGTGCCTGATTGTCCTATCAGATATTCAACCATATATGATTCATACATACCAAATACCCTACAAATAATGATGTATAAGCCCCCATGGGCTGTTAAGATTGTAATCAAGAGAACAATCAGAAGCAATCAATCCTGCCATGAATACAATTTGAATGCATGTTCTGGCAAAATATTCATGAAGCTGGGAACAACTACGCTGAGCTGCAACTTTTCTAATGCCGTCTGTGTTTGGTCAAAGGAAGTCTGGCGATGCAATGCAGTCCTCAGGGGTGGAAAAAGTACTAAAATATTCTACTCGAGCAAAAGTAAAGTTGCTTTAATGAAATGATACTTTAGGAGGAGTAAAAATACCAGTCAGGTAAAAGTGAAATTTAGTTTGAAAACTGAGTGCTTGCTTTTAACATGAAGGTGGGGAGTGAGAGGGGGTTGAAAAGTAAACTCTCAGCACTCAGTAAAGTGACCTGTCCAGCTTTCAGGACAGCTTGTACAAATAAAAATCAGATTGCAGCTCGCAGCTTACCTCACTATTGTTGAAAAGAGGTGACAGCAGTACAAAAAGCAATGTTTTGCTGATGAGTTATTGACCTGAGAAGGACAAACCTGTGAATGTATTCCCAACTTTGCAAGAGTACTTGTGGCGACTACAAAATGCATGTTATTTTCGCCCTCAATGTTACTTCAACTGGCCACAAGGAAACAGGCGGATGCAAATCAGTCTGTTGCAGTGTAAAAAATAGTGAAGTACAGTACTCTAGGGTTACACAAATACTTCAGTAAGGTACTGATTTAAAAAATACTCAAAAAAGCACAATTTAGGGCAATTTACGACAATAACCGACATCATTTTGCTCACATCGGTTTATTCAGTGTCAAAAAAATAAACAAATAAAAGTTAGTTTTGGGTGTGTGTAGGTAGGCTATCTTCTCATGTCCCTTTAAGATGCTGTCCTAAGTCAGAGATGTGACTCCACCCCATCCAGTCCGTAACAAGGAGGGACAGACAGGTGAGGAGATGGAGGACGGTTCAAAAGTTGTAGCAGCTGGAGTAGACGAAGTTAATGCGAGAGGGGGTGAGCAGCTTGTGGAGTAGTTCTCATCCATTTATCGGTATCAAGGTGAATTACTCAATATATTGAGATATTGATTTGAGGCCATATCGCCCAGTTCTAGCACAATTCCACACACACACAGCAACCCCATTTAATTAAAGTAACCTGTTACTCTCCACCCCTGGCAGTCCTTTTCATCAGTGTTAGTCCCTCAGGTGGGTTAATAAAAAGGCAGATGGCTGTAAAACATCACGTCACATTATTCTAAGTTATCGGCACCATTCCAGCTCCGGGTTTGTATTTGTCTGTCTGAAGCCGCGATTATATTTTCTACACTGTACTGAAGCCAAGCTCCGGTCTAAGCTATACATCTTCAGGCCTGATATCAGTCAAGTTGTCTGTGATCTTTTATGAATGCATCTTGTCCTCAGAGTGGGTTGATCAGACAGGCTCCTCTGTGAAGACAAAACATGGACTCACTATTGGGTATATTGTAGGTGTGTTACAGTCGATACAGCCAAGCAGACACACTTACCATATTGATTTTCTTTCTTGTGTGTTCCCACTGGAAGGACAGACTTTCACCTGTTAACAGCTATTATTGTACTTGAGCACCATCGGGCTGAGCCTCAGGCAACAGTGATGCTGTTTTGTTCCCTACAACAGTGACCGAGATACTGTACAGTATGTGCATGTCACGGCTCTGCTGGGCCTCTCACACAACACTGTGGCAACCACCATTAGCGGGTATTGTAGACATTTTACAGCTCAGTGGAGAGAGAGCCTCGCTCATGCAAGTGGACACAAATATGGAGAGGTACTGACAAACACTCGATAGATGCATGCATAAGTAAAGATGCTTCAGTTGCATGCACAGGAAAAATCAGACACATGGTATGTCACTCAAAGTTACTCGATTATTCAGAGGAGATCACAGAGCCTTATATTGCGAAGCTGTGCTGATGCAATCTAAACGTGCAGGGTTATCGTCTCCCCGTGTAAGATCTTCATGCCACCAGCATTCATCATGTGGTGATTTATCTACTGTCAGCTGCCTGCAGGAAAAAGGTCCTTCTCCATTTGTTGTAAACGTTGGCCGCTTTGATTACTGAATATACACAATTCAATCAGATGTGCTGTCTTTAGACAACCGGGGTCAATGCAAGTGTACTTCTGTGGCCTCAGATGCCACCATAAAATGTTAAAGCCCAGATGAGTTTCCTTCATCAAAGCCCCACAGGAGCCATTAATAGATTAAACACTCCATGTTGAAAGCACACCACTGTCTGCCTGCCTGAACCCTGGGGTACAGCCTATTTATGTCATTTAAACCGTTGCTATGGTAATAGGGTCACGCTTTGTTTAGGCTGATTTTGATCCTGATATATTTAGAAGGCAGTGGGCCTCCATGTCCATCATCTAATTAATGAATTATGACTCAGAAAAATAGCCAGTATTCTTAGAACCAGATGACGGCAGCATCTTTCCGAGCTCAGGCGGGGGCTTGCTTTGTGTGTGGCTCGGCTGCTTCAGTCACAACAGCTCTGCATCATTATGAAGGAGGTCTGTGCAATTAGCTGAGGTGTAATTCGGTCCTGTGTTTCAGCTGTAGATCTGTGGCCCGCTGTGTGTTTTTTCACAGTGAAAACATGGCGAGTGTTTGGTGCTGCCTGCTCCCCCGTATTGTTATCTCACCCGGAGCTTGTCCCCATGACCTCAGGGCTTTGTAACGCTCTACTGCCATCCATGGGTGTGCTGTGCACGAATGCTGCCATTTCCTCAGTTGGTGGGGATTTTCACCATTTGAACTGATTAAAAATGCCCTTTATAGAGCAAACCCACAGGCGAAGAAGCAGAGTAGATTTTTTTCTATGTTTATGTTATACACAAAGCTATGTTCGCATGTCTGTGAGTGAATGTAGATGTTCAGTTTTTTGGTTCATGCAACAAGACATCGAACATCACCAGTTAAAGTGTAAGAGCACAGAATAGAAACGGCACAAGCTGAGACACATGCAGACTTGAGGAGAAACACATGAAAGATGCCATTTTTCCTTTTGCCAGAGGGGCAAGGGACCACAGAGCGAGTGGGAGTGAGGGAAGTTAAAGGCTAAATAAGATTCACGGAGAAGGAGAACAAAAGAAAGCAACAGAGAATTAAAGATAATGATGCGGCAGAGAAGCAGCAAAAAAGAGGCTGGCCAATAATTAGAGTCGAAACTATGAAGCAGGGCTGTGAAAATTAATCAAAAAGGATTAAATTAATACAGGTTAAATGGCCAACTTCCTCTCTGGCTAATATTTAATGAAAGCTTGTTCTGCCAACAGACTGTGTGATTGGACAGATGATTGGCAGAACCATAGATTCTTTGAGGTATGGCAGAGTGTCCTCATCACACTCGTTATTCTCGTCTTTTATTTGGTCCATCACTTTTACAAAAAAAGGATGCCATTTGACCTTCAATCAGTGAGAGGAATTTAAGATGAAAACATACCAGTGCGCTCCACTCCACAGCTCATGCAAACACATGAGTTATTAAAACTGGTCTCGGGTAAAAAAAACCTCTGAGAGAATATGAAATGTGGGAGTGTCTGGTGGCAGCCATTGTCGCCTCTGTAAGCCAATGATTCTGTGTCTTTGTGCAGCAATAACTTCAAATCTGGAATATGCACAAACAGTAAGAGTTTATATCTAATAGAAACAGACAAAGTCCCTATGGTCTTCGGTTCAGACGGCTTAATGCCTGCTGACTCTTGATAAATATTATATCAGAACATTGCATGTGTTTACTCACTGATCAGTGTGAGACAGTCTGGGTTATTTTGAGATCAGAAAAATAATTACTCTGTGATCATTAGGAGAGAAAAACATTAAGAGCGTTAGGCATTGCCTCTACTACCATCCATTATTACTGCTTCTTACTTTTTAAAGATCAGTTCAAGTTCAAAGAAAGGAATTTGTTTGGTCTGAGTAAAGCGGGGATAGAATTTGTAGGGTAGGCATAATGTCATGTAAGATCCTCACAAGAATAATGTTGTATTTAATCACCATCTTGCTACTGCAGGAAACGATTTATGCTTTATGAAACAATTAAACATTAAAGCTGAACAAACTGAAACCAGTAAAGAACATTTTCATCCAAATCATCCAGTCTACTGTTTGAAAAGTGTTCCTCATAAGCCTGTCGGGCTCTTGGATCATCCTAGATCGAGCATCAATAAGCATAATTTTGAGATATTTTCAGCTCTTTTACTTCAATGACTTGTTCTCTTCGCAAAGACTGTGATAGGTAAATACAGACCCGGAGGTAAAGGGTGTCTCTATCCATGTTTGGATCTCTGCTGCCACCATGTGAATATGTCGGTAAGTGCATTCTCTCCAGGAGCTGCAATAATGGTGATGGAGATAAGAAGCATGACTTAGAGCAGTGGTTCTCAAGTCCAGTCCTCGAGGCTCACTGTCCTGCATGTTTTGGATGTTTCCCTGCTCCAACACACCTGATTCAAATGATCAGCTCGTTATCAAGCTCTGTAATGGCTTAATAACGAGCTAATCATTTGAATCAGGTGTGTTGGAGCAGGGAAACATCCAAACCACTGGACTTGAGAACCACTGACTTAGAGCATAGCACAGATTTCTTGGCTAAAGTTTCAAAGTTAACACCACCACAGCTGAATCAGCTTAAGTAGAACATTCATATGGATATGAAATGTTTTGGATTTCTTAACTGGTAAGATTCACTTCTGTAGCTGCAGCCTGAAAGTATTCCAGAGAGTGGTTTATAGCTTTAGAGGGGAAATCCATGTCATGTCAAATTAGATGAATTGAGGGACGTACTGTCATTTGGCACCAGTGTATATCCAGCATGCTCTTGGACATTGGCACTGGCATTGACGTAATCCTGCAGCAGTGTGTTTGTGTGTGTGTGTGTGTGTGTGTGTGCATTGTAGCTACAAGGAACCTTTTTCCTTGTACTACTTGTAAAAATAAGACTGTAAATTGTAACGCCATATGCACTCTTATATCTCTTTAACACTCCCTCATAAAGTGGTAACTACATTTTTCGAGCTCCAGAATTGAGTAATAGCTGTGAGAGTCGCTGAGACTGAATGCAGTTTTACTGGTAACCACAGGGGGGCAGTCTTGCTACATAAATAGGAGGCAACCTCACGAGTGAGACTGATGTGGGAGTCAGCAGGTGAGCAGAAGAGCACTGAACAATTTTTTGGATGAGACTCAGAAAGCTGTCTCTCCTCATATCACTTCACAGTCCTGCCCCACACTCAGGAGCCCCTATCTGTCACCCACTGTGACTGCGTGGGGAGGGGAACTCAAGCGAAGGCTGACAAAGTGGATAAGTCAGCAGGCCAGGGTGCAAGCAAGAAATAGAGATGACCTGGACGTTTTTGTTTTTTTTTTCTCTTCCCAGAGTGAGCCGTCATTTTAATGCATGGCTGTTTAGGGTGTAGAAATGACACCGCCTGCAGCCTGGAATCTCGCTGTCAATTGTCGAGAGGAGAGGTGTCAAAAAGCAATTCGAGACACCCTTCAATTCACATGCTGCTTTATTGCATCTCACCAAATTGTATAGAGGGTGGGGGCAAACCCTGACAGCAATGATTTGAGACAAAATACATACCTCGCACCCAGGAAATGGATATAAACCTGACCACATGTGAAAGCTGTCCTACAATGAACCTAAAGGTGAGCAGACATGAAGCCAAATATCCGTCGACACTGGCTTATGTGCTACGGCTGCTGAAAGCCACCATGTGAGTCCCCTTCATTAAAGGGACGTATGCTATAAGAGTCATAAGTAGAGAGGCACTCCTAGTTTAATTAATCAGTTTACACTCCAACGACAAAATATTCCTGGAAATTTGCAGCAACTCTTCCAGAGCTTCAGTTTCATATCATGTAGTACCTGTCAAGAAGATGTTGTAACCTAATTCAGAGTTACGGTTACGCCTCAGGCAGAGCGCACTTAGTAGGATGCTGAGGAAGTGCAAGCAACAGCCTGATATCAGATATGTCATCATGAAGCAGAATGACAGACAAGCTGTCAGAAGCAGCCATGGGCAGAAGCACCTGGATCTCTCCCACATTAACGTCTCACTGAACCACCTGTCTGCATCTCCCATCCCGAGCCCCTAGCCAACCTGAAATCTTATCTAACCCCACCTTCATATCAGTCCTGCACTCCGTACAGACAATGTGCTGAGGATGCCAGAGCATCTTCAGTGCCCTGGATGCCCTGAGCACTCACATGTCACATAACATAGAGCAGAGATCAGCCCTCAGTAATCAGTCTCTCTCTGATCTCCACGCCTCAGAAATGTGTTCTCGCATATACAACAAGATGTGAGTCATGAAAGGACAGCCAAATGTCAAAGACAGAGAGAGGGAAAGAAAAGAAAGGATACATGCATGCAAAACAGGGCTGGCAAGAGCAGAGCAGCGGCTGATTGGGGAGGGGATGAGACAGAGAGGCAGCCAATGCGCAGCTCTGCATCTTGAGGAAGAGAGGGAACGAGACAGAGAGAGAGAGAGGGAGGGAGGGAGAGAGAGAGAGAGAGAGAAGGGGAGGGTGAGGGAGAGAGAGAGGAAAGGAGTGAGTGAGAGAGAGGGAGGGGGGTGAAGCAGGAGCAGTCACTCTGGGAGGGAGGATTCCAGGGTGATGCTGTTGGACGTGAGCCGTTCTCCGCTTAGCGCTCTCTGGCTGTCCTTTGACTGAGCCAGAGCTGAGTGAGTCTGCTCGCTGTGATCCACCGGCTCTGGGGGGATCTGCTGCTGCTTGGACTGAGGCTGAATCTGACTGTCCGTTTCCCTGCCGAGGCTGTCTGGAGCAGAGAAGTGTTGACTGGAGCCGAGGTCCAGGGCAGGGTAGGGCAGGGCAGGGCAGGGCAGGGCTGGCTGTCGGGCCATTTTTCTGGGGCCCCACAGGAGGCAAACATGAGTGTCCCCATGCTCAAGATCGGGGCGGTGCTCAGCACCATGGCCATGGTGACCAACTGGATGTCTCAGACCCTGCCCTCTCTGGTGGGACTCAATGGGACCACCATCTCCAGAGGGGGCACCTCGGAAAGGATTGTCAGCGTGCGTATGACTTTCTCTGCTTTTTTTTTTTCCCTGAGTGAGCGTTCATTCATGCTTCTGTCCTGAATGTGAGAAATGAAAGAGAGTGGAGGATGAAAGATGAAGATAGCGGAAAGAGTGGGGTCATGTGTGAGCTGGTATTTGAACTATGAAGGATTTCTCATAAAAGTCAGACTGTGACACCTGGGGATGTTTTAAGAGAGATAATGAGGGTGCAGACTTGAACGTGAGAGCGGTATTTTAACGAAACATGACTGATGCACATTTTCCTGCGTGAGTCACATTAAGTATTATAAAGCAGATTTGTTGGCTTCTTAATATGAGTGATGAGAGGTGGAAGACGCAGTGTGGACGGCCGTGGTAAATCATATGTTTGCAGGGGTGACGGGAGGTAGAGAGTGTTTCTGAGTGATGTTCAGACTGATCTCATCTGTCACTCTCCTCCAGGCTGGGAAGGATGGTGCTCAGAATCAGAGGTGATGCAGAAAGCGGGGGGGTTGAGACAATGCTATAGTTATGGAGATGCCTTTTTCTGCTCGCCCTGTTGGTCCCACATGAAGAGAGCTCAAGTGTAAAAACAACTTTTCTTTTAGTTTAGATGTTTCTTTTTTTTTAATTCACACATACACAGATTTCTCTTGTGCTTTTCCATTAGAAATCAGAATCTGGCAAATTAATGAGATATTTTCTGGTTCATCAGTGATTAATAACTGCTTTGCTTCAATCCTGAGTGTGCTTTCATGGCGCCTTTCCCAATAGGAAAAATGCCTCGGTCTGTTAGAATGATCGGATAAAATTGAACATCCCGAGAGATCTGTGACCATCTGGAAATGTGTGTAGGTGTGTTTGTGAGTGTGTTTGTGTGCTTAAATATGTACTCTGAGTATGTGTTGGCATTCTTCTCTCAGGGGTGAAAGTCCATCTGTTTGAAGTTAGCTTTAATCATTTAGAAAGTTTGTTAAAACATCAATCTGGCTGCTTATCTGTCCTTAATATTGCAGAGAGAGGTGTGGAGCTGAAATGTTTTCTATGGGGAAAAAAAAAAAAGTGTTACCTTTGCAAAAATGTCAAACATCAAGCTCAGAGTACTTGAGTCCAAACAGTTCTATTTCTCTTTGTAATAACTTGTACATATTTGAGTCGGTGGTTTAGAAAACATCAAAGCTGAATCATAATATAACCTCAGTACCAATGTCAGCGCATAAAGCCTGTTTGAATTATTTACCACATAAACTCTGTAATCCTTTTAAACACATACTTTTGCTTTGATGGGAAAATAGGAATGATCCATCCATTTATTTTCTATACCTACTTATCTCGCTCAGGGTCAAGAACATAAAAACATAATCACTTTCTTCTTTTTTTTTTTGCTGAATCAAGACTCATAACTTGAAGCTAGATCATTTCCATTTCAAACGACTGAAGCAATAAAACACAACATGTAATAATGAGAGGATATTTTCTTTGGAGTAACCCTCGTTCACAGCCTATGGAGGAAATTGTGGCTATTGAAGTTCATCAAAGTTTCATCACTACTGATGAGCCAGTTTGATGGTGCCAGGATTATTACAGTCTAACAGTGTGTTGTGATGGGAAATGTCTCCGCTTTGAGACTGGAATAATCTCCCCTCATAAACAATGGCAGCGAATAAAAGTTTAATGTAAAACCTCGCCTCAAAGTACCATCACTATTAATGAGACATTTTCCTGTGATGATCTCAGACGCGGTCATGACTCATACAATGTTTACAGCGCTAATCAAAGATAATCTAGCTTCACTCTTGTGACACTGGTGCTAGTTTGCCCACTGGCCGTTGCATGGCTTTTTCCCCACCCTGGCACCCGTGCATCCTGCGTCCCATATTCTCGCAGCTCAGAGCCATCTTCAAAGTCTGCCTCACTTGCTTTCTGCATCTGTCTACAAACCAGCTGATCTCTGAACACAGCTGACTGAGTTGATGTGGATCTTCCTGCCATGGCACTGAGCACAACACTGCCTGGATGCTTGTACACATCTGGATAGTGCAAAATCGTGTTTTCTAATGAGCACAAGAGACGCTGCAAGTGGAACGCTTACAAGGATCTGGTGTGGTTAAAGTGTGGGCAAAGGAAGGATGTAGACCTGCCAGATTGCACACCAAAAAGCTGACTAAAATTCATCAAACTGTACATCTGTTTTTATCTATATAACCTTAAAGCTAAAGGGAATTCGTAAAACAAGAAAACTAGTGTGATTAATCTGAATAACCTTCAAACTTAGGAGTATTTATTTAGCTTTAGGTGAGCTACAGGCTTAAATAAAAACACACATTAAGAGAGAGGGACACAGTTGAAAGCCCTATAATGAGGAGCTGTGAGGAGACATATAATCGAAGCTCTTTAATTGACTCCATCAATTCATCATGGATAAATAAATATGTATGACACTGAAGTGAAAAATCAGAGGTTCAATCAATTATCCGTCTGAAATAATCGTTGACATTTAAACACATTACACACCGTTTCACACAGGTAAGTGGTCTAAGCAGGCAGAGGTATGAGTAATTACTGCATGGAAGCTAGAGTTATGGAGTTAGATTGAAGAAAATATTCCTTGAGTGGGAAAACTACCCCCACATGCTCTTTCAGCATTATTTCCAGAGCTTCATTAAGAGAACACAAATAGTCTTTTTAGAAACTATGTGAAACAAAACTTAGAAAAGTGATGATGAATTTGTTCACACCATGTTAATGCATTTGAAGAAAATTAGAGCCACCTCTCTGTTCTTCAAACGATTAACTATTACAGTGTGAAACATAAGCTATTTGTGTAATCTTCAACACCCTCAAGCAGAAGTGTGAAATGTCTAATCCGGAGTATTAACAAACAATAACAACCGCTTAAGCCAGTTGAAGCAGCTATGGCTCAGTGACTCCAGTGGGTTATCTAGTGAAAGGTTGGCGGTTTGATCCCAGTGCTGCAGTTACAAACTAAAATGTCCTTGAGCATGAATGTGTGAATGAGGTATGAACGGGTGAATGAGGTGAGTAGAGTCACAGTGGTTTATGAAGATTAGACTGATTGTCTCTGAGTGTAACTTCATCTGTGCGCAATACAAAACAGAGAAACCTTCTTTCCTAAATTGTATTTGAATTTCCAATTAGCGTTTATGGCTTACGCTGTCAATTTCTAAGTGATTGCTCACTAACTGAGAAGTTCATTTTTCCTGGAGCTGAGCCAGCGGTGCATGCATCTTAGATGTATTGCTCAGCAGTAATATACTGCACATACCAGGAAGTATTGCGCATAAGCAGCCTCGCTCTGTCACAATTCTCCGGCAGAGCAGTCAAGCTCCGATGAACTCTCCTGGATATCAAGATAGACAAAACACTGGATTTGGGAGGGATGAGGTTTTCTCATGCACACAATCCTCTGCAGCCATCCTGCAGGGCGGCTGTGGCTCATGATCCTTTGCATGGGCAAGACTCTGAACCCCAAATTGCTCACAGTGACATAGTAAATGGTGTGCAAATCCATATGAATGGGATTAGTTGATACTGATTCCTACTTTAGACCCTTTTTGGGCTCAGTCCACAATGACATGATGGTACTAGCTGGAGGTGGAGGCGAAACAAAGCAGAACTGGAGGCAGAGTAGAAAAGGTCATGGGGGCTACAGGGGAATACTCAACCACAAATATGAAAGTATTCTAGTACTTCAGTTTGTCCAAAGTATACACACCTGCTTTTTCTTTAAGTTACATGTACAAGCCCAGCAATTCCACCTCTGGCAGTCCTGCCACATCACCCATCCACTGAGCTCACAGGTCGGCCTGTCTGTTCTCATTTGTCAGAGTTAACTAATTCAAGTAAAACTCTCGGTCCCTGAAAATGCCTCATTTACTCAGAGAGACCTGAGTTGTCTTCCCTCATTGTTGAACTCAAGACAATAACAACTTGCTAGCCAACGCTGATTAAACTTCCCCTGCCTCCAACAAAGTCCTACCAACTACAAGTGCCATACTGTTTACCAACACTAAAAGGGTCTATAGCAGCCTCAGTGAATGAATGAGTCCTGAATGGGTGAATGACGCGATGGAAGTTAGGGCTGGGCGATAAACAGAAAATTTACTGATACCAAATTTTATGACAATAACCAACATCAATAAATAAAAAAAAGTTGGTTTTGGATGTGTGTCGGTAGGCTATGGTCTCATGACCCTTTAAGACACTGTCCTTCATCAGAGACGGGACTCCACCCCATCCAGTCTGTAGCAAAGAAGACATGGAGGACGGTTCAAAAGTTGTAGCAGCTGAAGGAGACGAAGTTAATGTGGGAGGGTGTAAGCTGCTTGTGGAATAGTAATCGTCCATTTATCGTTATCAAGGTGAATTGCTCAATATATTGTGATATTGATTTGAGGCCATATCGCCCAGCTCTAATGGAAGTCCATTCTAGGATGCAGGTTTTGATAGAGATCTCTAGTCCCCCGTCTGCATATTCTGCAGGAAAATACAGAATTTGTAGGTGTGAGACCAGATTTGGGTTTCATAAGAGTGTTTTGCTCACAGGAGAAATCGTCTCATCTGCTGGTGTCTCGGCAAACATTAGTTGTACCCAGAAAACACAACACATCATAATGCAATCTTCTAACCAGCGGGAAGTCTTCTCATGGTTAGGCCTGAGTCAGAGTCTTTTAACAAACCCTAATCAATCAGATACTCTCCTCTTCCTTTTTAAGAGTTTGTTGAATGTGAACAAAGGCAACAAGTAAATCTCAAGCTGGAAGTCCTTTATTGTCACCCCTGGATACACCATTAAGTTTTCCATCAGTGAGAGGTTATGTTGGTGGCCCTGGTGGTGGACTGACATTTGATTTTGCAGCTGGGGGAAAGTTCTGCCACAGAAACACCAAAGAGATTAAAACTTAAGTTATCTTGATAATAAAGTAGAAGAGCTAAAGTCGAACTTTAAACACTAATTCTAGTCTTCCATTATAGACGTACACATACCTGAGTGATGTCTATAGAGAACTTAAACCCACAATAATGTAGGGAGAGACTGAACAGTAATGAGACAGTATGTGCGTGTGTGTTTTTTAAGTGTGTGTGTGACTCTCCCTTTGATATCTAAAATAAGCAAGCTGTGAGGCAGAGAGTGGAAGAAAATATTCTCACCATCAAAAGGGAGCGTGGAACAACAAATGGCAGCATACACAGAGCCAAGAATCAGAATCTGATTGGGGTCACCCAGCCTCTGTCCATCGGGTGTGGGGGACTGTAAACTTTATCACATCCACTGTGCAGTCCAATAAAGCAGATTGTAAAGATCGATTCTTGGCTATGGATTAAAGATTAAACACTGCTGCAGATTTTTATTTCAGCACTTTGTTTTTATGTTCATAGCGCTGTGTTCCTTTAGCTTTATATGAGTTCAGAGCCTGACAGGTGTCCTCCACTGCCCGGTCAATGTGAACGTGTTGCGCTCAGTCCGGATCTCGGCGAAAGCCAGTCTTGTAACGTAATTTTTAAATTGTTCAGATACATTAACTAATTATACGAAAGCCTGTGTACAAAGCTGTATCGATCCCAGACTCTACTGGGCTGGTAATCAGGCTTTTGACATGGTTCATTTGCCATGATGAGAGTGCAATTTCCAACCAACTGAACTTTAACTGAATCATTGCTTTGTCCTCCAAAAGCAATCTGATGATCTTCTTATACACACACACCCCTGCAATCCATATTTTCCTCTGATGAAGCTCTGGCTGTGTTCTCACAGCTTATACAGTGTTTTCTCACATTAGCCACCCTGCCACTCTCGCCTCCCTCCTCTACTTGACATCAACTACGGTGAAGCAATCTTTTACACGCGCTACAGCAGAGCAGATGCCAAATACGTTTTCACTGGGGCACCTGGCGCTGTGCTCACAGCCTGCTCCAACAAAAAGGGATAAAGTTGTAGGTGCTTACTCGTACGTGCGGAGCATAGTTAAGAGTCATTTTCTTTCACCCGCCCAAAAATCTGTGGCTGAACCCCCTCCCCTGCTCGAGCATCATTCTACCTTTGCTGTCACTCGTGTGATCCAGATTGGACCCAGTGAGCCGCGGTTGAAAAGTGAGCAGGACTCTGCGCAAAAAGGGGTGGCATCCACAGGAGTGATGGAGAGCCAGCAGGGAGAAGGGTATGATGAGTTTATGACTCATATTATTGACTGGCAACCATGCTGCACTGATTGTGGTAATCGCTTTTCTTTAGGCGAAGGAGAGACCGGGGACTTGAGCGGGAGTCCTCATTGAGTTTTATTTTGAAGGGCAGCAGCTGGCCTGTGCATTGAGGACTCGCTGATTGTTCATTTGCACAGAGGGGGTGTAAAGTGTATGTTTGTCTGTGTGTGGGCAATTACAGTAATATACCCAGAATTTGAAAAATGAGATTTGATTGTCTGGCGTTGGCGTGGCTAGAGCTAAACACCGTGTAACAGGGACAGATGTTGCTACTTTGTTGAGGACAAGTAGAAAAAGAGAGAGAGACACAGAGACAGAGAGAGAAAGAGCGATAAAGTGAAACTGTAAAACTCGGATAAGCAAAGTTGGCATTGCAGACAGAAGCTGAGGAGATAGATTATATCGGTACTACTTCTTACTTTGTTATACCTACTCTCAGACTATCTCACCTTGACGTCCCCTTCATTCTCAAAATGTTCCTAACTCGCTCTCTCTTTCTGTGCAACTTTATCTCCGCTTCTCTGTTCTTGCACTGTCCGTCCTCTCTCGTATTGCAAAATCTCAGATGTGATGGCAAGTTCAGTTCACAGTGTAGCCAGCGGTCAGCTCTCATCCCCATCTCACGAGGACCTGCGCTGGCTTCCGCTCGTTTGCCCCTTCTGCCTGCTGCTTATGAAAGTTATAATAGACTTCCCGTCATGCTCATAAAGTCGGGGAGCTGTAGATTTATGATCTCATTTAGCTCTGGCTTTACAGCAGTAAGCCAGCTCCAGGGTTGGTGTAATGAAACGCCAGAGGAAGCTCACCCTGCTACTCTCGACAGTGATACCCGAAGCAACCGATGTCTGTTTGGATGATCGCCTCAAACTTTGTTCATCATTAAAAACAAAGAGAGGAAAAGCACTCGGATATCGCCCTAGGTTGATTCATTGTGCTTATCCGAAAACTATAAATTAGGGACACACAATATGAAGAAAAACTAACTCTGGGATTTATTTTCTTTCTGTAATATAATAAAGAATTGGAATAATTTCAGAAATTTACACCAGATACATGCCACACATTTAAAGTGCTTACAAACGATTGAGATTTCAACAACTTTAAGTCTATTTTCTGCTTTCAAATCAAATCACTTCAATCATATCACAGTGTTCAGCCCTCTGACAGCTGCTTTGACACCTGTGTGCAGAAATAGACACAAGTGGAGGTGAGAATATAGGAGGAACAACACATTGCCTATAAACTTTACAAAGTAGAGCAATCAACAGACTTAGAAAATCAATTATTTCCATCCATGTTAAAAATGATCCTTAATCTGTGCTCTTAGTCCTGTGATGGTAACTTCTAATTCAACGAAAACTCATTGTAGGAGCCAAATTATATTTGTTGAGGGTATGATTTCTACTAAGTACGTCACTTCTGGGGATCGACACTGAGGGTTAAGGTTTTGGGATGTTTGGCAGGTTATTTAAAAACACTGGTGTAGTCAGAGACAACGGGTTTTAGTGAGCTCTGATCATTTTCTGTTGACCGTTTTTCGCTCATCCTTCTACCCTTATTTCATCATATCTCTTTTCATTTGAAGGCAAAAGTTTGGATCACTGTTAGACTGTAAGTTTTTATTTCATTTTTGAACAGTAGATCACCTTTAGCACTCAACTGGACCGATGAATTAACGTGTCACAGATGCAAGCGCACCTAAATCCCAGTCACCTTTAGTTAAAGGACAGCAGTCGCTACACTCATTGTCATCTTTAACGTATTGTAGCGTACTTATTTTCACTTCACTGCGATGTATTGACGAACACTATCGGGATAACATCGACTAATCTGTTGATCTTAAATGAGCGTTTTATGGGTATCCATGAACTCAAGAGTCATGTGACACAGAAACAAATACGACCTGCAAAGTGATCAGTCCTTTTGATGTATAAATGAGAGGCTGAATGAAAGTGATTTAAGGTCAATTTATCCCAGACAATAAAAAAGTGGAGACAGCAAGATGTCTAAATATATTATCGCCCAGTCATTCTATAAATAAAGATTATCAATGACAACCCCCGTTTAGCCCATGTGAGGAGTTTTAAACAGGTTATAAACAGACTGTAAGGGACTGGGATGCAATTATTTACAGTGAAAGATCATTTCAATGCAAAAGACAATGGGAGATTTGATGTCAATTAATGCCACTGTGACAAAAATAGTAGAAATCAGCGATAACATGAGACTCACTAAGGTGTTGGTGCTTGTGTGACAGCAAAACAGGCTGCACTCTTTATCAACCAAGTCTCAAATATTTACAGTTTTAATCAGCCAGTCTATTTTTTCTTCAAACATTGAGTGAAGGAGTTATTATCAAACATTTATTTTGAAATTTTTTTGGCAGGGCTTTGATTTACTTTTCTCAGCCTCTTCCATTTTTCAAATCCTTCACTGGGTTGCCTGATAAATGTTTTAAAAAGCAGTGATTTAACAGGAAACACAATGAAAGTAGTTGACTGAGATGTATCTATGATTTTCAGATCGTTGGAGCTCATGGAAATTTAATAAATAAGCATCTGACAGGTTAAACATGAGACACATAATGCTGATACGGGAGTGTGGTGCACTATATAGTAGGGCTGAAACGATTACTCGAGTAACTCGAGTAACTCGATTAATAAAATTCCTCGAGGCAAATTATATGCCTCGAGGAATCGTTTAAATCCGGAACTATGTGCAGCGCACGGTGTTTGACACGGACGGTTATTTCTGTTGCGCAGCAGCGTGCTCTTTCCGCTCCTTCCGCTGCCGCGCGTTTCATAGACATAATAAAAGGGTAGACCCCGCTGGGGGTGCTGCGCAGCGAAAAATGCGGCCGCCATCTTGGTCAGGTCAAGCTTCCCATACGCTCCGGTCAATCATATTCATTCATTCAGCGATGCCGGAGCACTGTGCGGCGTATTCCTGTGCCAACAGGCGGACAGCAGAGAACAGGGCTCAAGAAATAACTTTTCACAGTCATGATTAAACGTTTTTTAAACATTACACTTGACTGTAGAGTCATTTGTAGGCCAAAGAGGAAGACTATCGGTCAACTCCAAAAAGGAAACAGCATTTGCGAACAGCTAGCTTATTCACAATAATAGCAACTTTGGTCGATTATCAACAGATTTGCATTAGATTGAAAAACTTTTGTTTGAGAGAGGTTCTAAGAAACGTTAAGAAATAAAATAGAAAGAAAAAGGAAGAAAGTGAGCTCTGTTTTATTATCTGTTTTATTAAAGATTTCTTTGTGGTGATCTCCTGTTTCATTTTGAAGATTTCCTAAGAACAAAAACTTGAGGAAGAAGTGGTAGATTGCTGTTAGAGGGAGAAATTCGCAGCAAGTGATTCCTCTGTGCTGTGTAGCCAACAAGCAAATTGATATGTAGTTTAGATGCTGTCCTGTCATGCTGTTCTTGTGTTTAAATCTTTTTGATATGTAGGCTATATATTTGTGTGTATTTTCCAGTTATTAAAATAGTGCTTCTATATGACATTATTTGTGTGTGTCTACAAATGGATAAATAAAATTAAACTATATAAAAAATTATAATCAAATCAATATATATTGAATTGGCCTATTAATACCGCCAGTTATTAATAATTATTGAGACATAGCAGGAACCTAGCTCTAAACCTAAATATATCCTTGATTAATTGTTATACTATAATACAGCCACTGCTGCCATGTTCTAAAATATCATTTTATTCATTCTGAGTATTTGAAAACGCCAAAAAAAATATGGCCTCTATCATGCCTCTTTGAATGGCGTTTGCAGAGAAGAAAATTACGTAGTATTGAGCGAACTATGATTCATTAATGCGCTCAGACTTCATTCCGCCGGTTAAACAGCGGTGCAGAGTGAGGCGGATGACCGGACCAAGATGGCGGCCGCATTTCTCGACAGCGCCCATTCGTGGTAGCGGCCGATGCAGGGTCTATCTTTTATTATGTCTATGGCGCGTTTGGTTCAATCATGGAGGGAAACGAGGACAGACAGAGAGAGGAAGAAAGAGATGACACGCAGAGGAAACGGCAGAAAGTGTCTAAAGTGTGGGACCATTACACACTGAAAAGGAAAGAAAACGCCGTGCAGTGCGTTTACTGTAAGGCGGAGTTGGCGTTTCACAACAGCACGTCGTCAATGCTGCAGCACCTTAAAAGAAAACACCCGGTCCATGCATTAAGTCCGCTCTGAGGCAAACGTGATTCAATGCAAAGTATTACAGTGAGAGCAAAACATTTCTTATCCGATTACTCGATTAATCGACAGATTAATCGATAGAGTACTCGATTACTAAAATAATCGATAGCTGCAGCCCTACTATATAGTGAAACAAATTTGAATGATTGTAAATCCAACTCACATAACTGGATTATACTCTATGAGCTGATTTGAATCAGAGCTCTCTGGTCTGCAGTGTGAAGGACACAGAAAAGTGACGCTGGAATAACATTTTCTTTTCGCCACTTTTTAGCTTAGTAATGACCGCAACTTCACATCTCCTCTTTAACTGTCTCAGCAGGTTTGAACTCAAACAGTCACTCAGTTTTGTGACTGGGCACTATTTGAACTAAGTTATAGGAAATAAGAGCCATCACTTCTCCCCCTGTCAGCCTTTCTCAGACCACAACTCTTCCTTTTCTGCCTATCAGTGCATCAGGAGCTTCCGCTGTAATGTTTTATTTATTTATTTACTGGGATGCTAGGAGGTTGTGGTAGGACAACATGCCAGCAGGGCATGGTGGTACGTCATACGACCCGGTCTGTCACATGTGATGTCATGGGAAGCGTGGAAACCCTGAGGTGATGCGAAAGAGTCGAGCCAGAAATCTTAAAAGAGCAATTTTGGCTTTAACACGCAAGCTCAATTGATTTTTCATCTCTAAGGCTCTCTGCGGTTCTCTGTTGTTTTTATTGCTGCTGTCTTCTTTCTTAATGGGCTTTAGCACAGCAGCCATGACTGTGACAGCTCTGAATCTGGCACTTACATATTCTATTTCATCCTTCACATCTAATGGTTGGATTTCTGGAGGAGTCAACTGGGAAACTCCTTTCTCTTGAAGCCACAGCCTGTCTGGGAGGGGAGGATTATCTCACAGACCTGAAGAGCTCCTGGCTAGCAGACACTGATGGCAGGTTACTTGATCATCACTGCTCTGTTGGACCAGCTTTTACTCTGCAAAATAGAATTTCAAGTGTCTTGTTTTCCTGCGCTAATGAGATATCTATTATTTTTATGATGGGCTGCCTGGTGTAAGCATTATGTTAAATGACCCACTGTCAATTACCCACCCTTCACCACAGAGAGCAGATTTCATCCTGTTTATATAAATAAGCCCACATTTAAAAACATACTGAAGTTTGCTAGTTGCACCCCATGAGATTGGCTGTTTATGAGCGCTGGTATGTGGATGTCTGTGCAGAGGCTGGGGCAGAAAACATTAGCATTAAAGAAATCCACTTTCCTCCCTGCTCTCTATATAGCGCCTGTTACTGCGATGAAAATGGGGAAGTTAACGCAGAATGGATAGGTGGGTGGTAATGAAATTGGACCTGATTCAAATAAGCTCTTAATTTCAGCCCGGCATTTATGAAACATTAATGAAGAGGGGGGAAATCTGTGGCTGAGAGAACTCCCCGGCTTGGAAGGAGCACATGAGGAGCACAGCGTGAGTTCAAACATGTTGTGTAATGAAGAGGGCATTATGCTAATGGCGTTGACATGACTCCGGTATTACCTTCCTGACTTCTGACACCGACCAAAATGAAACACATGGTCAAGACAGCAGTGAGACGACCAACTGTGGCTCACTCTCAAGCTGATAGCGGCTATGAAATATTGATGCACACTTCTGCACCCATTGCAGCAATCTTTCTTAACCAAAAGTGAATATCTGGTGCGTGGGCAGACTGCCCACACATGTATGGATATGAGGTAATTTTATTGAAGGCAGGAGGTTGTGCATAGCCTCAGAGTGGGAAACTTAAGTGGATTTTGCTTTTTGAGGCAAGCTTACCTGCACCTGTTCACACTGCAGGATATCAGCTGTGATGAGAAGCCAGTGTACCATAGTGTGGAATAACAATCCACTATCTTACATATATTTATAGTCATGTAGCAGCGATTGCACATGCTCTATATCTATAGTCTTGCAGTGAGCACAGCTGCAAAGAAATCCAATAAAACCCTCTTGGGGGGGCGGATTCAATGTGCAACTGCACAGCATGTTTCTAGAAATCCATAATTGAATAGGTTAAAATTCATGTACAGTATGACTATACATATTTCATGTTCTTGCATGTTCATTAGCAGATATTGCATGTATACTTTGACAGAGGCGTGATCACAGAAATATTTAAACACATGAGCGCTCACGCAGACATGATGCTCCAGTCCTGACAGTGAGTGAGACTCAGAAAGAAAAGCAGACAGCAGAGAAGAAGCTCCCCCTCAGGCGTTGGCAGGATGAAATAGACAGTCAGATTGAGTTGAAAGAACTGAAGGAGGTCTTGCTGTGGAGAAAGCCTCTTTTGTTTTGTCTTTGCTTCAACTCTGGCCTCTGAGGACCTCCGTCTCCCACCTCCACCCAATATCATTCCGACGCTGGATTTCCTCAAAGAAGAAGACTAATGATAGGAGAGATGCTGACTGAGAAAGGCGTGCAGACCTCTGCAGGAGGCTGCCCACTGACTCGCAAATCTGCATTGATATTAAGAATAGTGGGATGCTAATTTACCCAATGAGCCAGTGAAGTCCACTGTGAGTCATTCATGTGCAAAAAGGACATTTGGTCATACTAAAGCATTATTAATATAAGTGTGTAATATTCCCTGAATAGAAAACGAGAAGAGAATATTACTCCTGGCTCAGTTTAATTAAATTTGTATGTATTAATTTCTAAAGTGCGGTCTATTTTAAACACTGAATATAATGAGGGATTAATGTGAGAGCACCGTGATGCATTATGGCTGCATATTGTGAGGTTGACATTAGAGTATATTCGAGTGTAGCTCACGTAGCTTTTTTTCCTTTTCCTCCAGTTCATTTGAAGCGAGTCCGATTTAAAATTCATTCATTCTGAGAGTGTGAGGGAGGAAGGCGGGAGCCGCAGAGGCAGAGAGCGGGAGAGGAGGGAGAGAAAGGGGGTGGAGTACCAGGGGACTCGCAGGAGTGACAAGATGTGACAGTGAGCACATTGGCTTGCAGGGTGGCTGCTACTTTACACTCCAATCACACGGTCTCCCCCCTGTCCCCCAAGACATTTTAATCTGATCCCCTGGCCCACGAAGATGAGAAGCAAAACACTGAGCAGGAGAGCTGAGACTCCAGGTTTTATACCCAGCCTTTTCCCTCCATTTATGTGGAAGTCTCTTAAATTCTCTCACTAAAATAGCAGCTCCTTTCCTCATTACACTTTGCTTCATATGCTGAGTGAGTGTAGACGCTGTGAATGAAAGGACCGGCGTCCGAGCCAGGCCTTTAAAAACTGTGTGTACATGTGCGTGTTCTTGCAAGCACACAGCACTACTTTTGATTGGATTAGTCAGAGAGAGACATCCACCCTTTCAGCCTCGCCCCTCCTCCACTGGTAACGGGGCCGCATTATCGATCCCAAACAGCTCCATTTCCTCTCTGTGTCCAAACTTATTAGATGCTCGGCTTTCACACAGTCTGGCCTGATCCCTCCTTCGTCCTTCTTTCTCTGAAATCCTCATTTTCCCCCCATTTGTCTTTGTCTTTCTTCATCCTCCATCAAGATCAGACTCTATCTCCGTCGTGTTTTTCAGCCCTTTGTCTATTTTCCACTAGTGATCTTGTCTTATCTTAATCTGCACTCGCTTCTCCTCATTTTCTCCCTCTGACTCTTCCCTATTCAGTCTCTCTTCACCTCATTTTCTCCGTCTTTACCGCCGTTAGCTTCACTTTTTCTGTCAAGCTCTGGTTTTGTTTCTCCTTTGAGTTGATACTGAATTTAAACTGTGGAGGATTTTGAATAGTTTGTTGAATCAATTGCAGTTAATTGTTTTTAGTGAGGAGTAAGATTTGACAGTAGTGCTGTGTAATTCACGAACGATTCATTCAAAAGAACCAAATCTTTTAAGAGAACGTACTGAACCGAATCAGTTCTTCAAGTGATTCGTCCGTTTCTCACTTCAGTCGCGCTGAAGTGAGAAACAGCATTGCCAGCTGCAAGCAGCGAACAGCCGGCTAACGAGGGACCGCATGCACTGACGCCTGAATCACTTGATGAACGAATCATGCAGTGAACTACACTCTCTGGAATCTTTTTTGTTGGACAAAACTACCTTTTTTTGTACTGCTAAATTGCCCCCACAACAACTTGCATACAATAGGACACAGCATGTAACAAGTAGTGCATTAAACCTGCAGCATCCTATCATTGCAGCGGTTTGCAAGGAAACGGTGCATGCTCAGTGTGAATTCTTCTAAACGTTCAGTGAACGAATCACTCACTGAGCCCAATTTACCGAGCAGACCTGATAAATAGCTTACCATAGGACAGTACACTTAAAACATCATGACTTATTATACAAGTTCATTTTTCATCCTGAAACGTTCAGCTGTGTATCAGCTCAGGAGGTCGGAGTCACAGGCTCCTCCCACCAAGTGCGGAATGATTCCGTGATTTGGTGAACGAATCTTTTGAACAAATCCTTTTAGTGAACTGATTCTAGTGATTCAGTGCATCTCAAAGAACTGCCATGCCCATCACTATTTGACAGGCTTTCAGGAGAGAAAGCAAACTCTGTGGAGAAATTATAACTGCAGCTAAATTACGGTGACAGAATGGGCTCGACTAATCAGGATATGGAATACATTAAAGAGTACTTTTTTCCTCCACTTTCATCAACACTGTCAAGCACTGGATTCATTTGTTATTTTGGAAATGCTTCATATAGGGTCCAACACTTTCAAAATAACTGTGTTGATACATGCCGGCAGATTAAACTTTCTGCACTCATGCACTTTGAAAATCCTGCTCAGTAGCAACACTGATAAACAACAGATGACAGAAGCACCATTTCTTCTCCTGGTCTAAGTTATATATGTCTCTCTGTGTGTCTGCAGGCTCTCTACCCAAGCCCGGAGGAAGGCTGGCAGATCTACAGCTCAGCACAGGACGCAGATGGGAAGTGTATCTGTACCGTGGTCGCACCAGCCCAGAACATGTGTAACCGCGACCCACGCAGCCGGCAGCTCCGCCAGCTCATGGAGAAGGTGACAGCTGTCAATAACACACTCACTCACTCTGAGACACGACTGTAGCCCACGCAGACACACCAACAGTCACGCCGCACTGCGCCCGTGTCTGGCACCGTCTGTCAAAAGCAGGCTGCTGAAGTGAACAGTCTTACTTCTTTGCACCTACAGTTGATCAGTCATGAAGATAGACATGATCGCATGTGAAAAACTGTGTGCATTAAGTGTGTAAACTTTTACTTTTTGACTAACAGGGCTGCTTGAGGTTAAGGGAGCACTGACTGCTTTAATACAAGAAAAGTTTTTAGGACTGCAGGCAACTTTTACTTTTTTACCATGACAGGCTCTAAACTTTGCTAACTCAAAAATAACCAAAACTGTAAATGTAGATCTGGTAAAGAACTGGACTGAGCTGGATAATGATGTTGCAAATATGATAGAGGGCTCTGTGGCCAACCACCACAAGCCATGTGCAAAACAACACGACCTGACTACAAAGTTTACTCATTGAAATGGATTTAGTTGGGCTTTGTGTTACTTTTATTCGCTTTGTTGTACTATTCTGAAGCTGCTTATTCAGGTCTCACAGTGTGAAGCCCTCTATGTCAGATGAGGTGGGCAGGGAGTTAGAGAGTATTTTCAGGATGAAAGGACATGATAACAAAAGCGTGCTGCTAAAGACAGAGTGAAATGTTTGTAACGTGATGGCAGACGGAGCTACGGAGATCTACACTCTTCTTCAAGCTCAGTTGACTTTGTTCATCCTGTTGTGTGTTGCTCTTCTTTGTTTGCATCAATTGAATTATATGATCTTTATCATCCTTGCCCATTTACTCACAGTATTAATGCTGCGTTCGAGTTTAACCCGAGTTACCAGTGTTTCAGTTACCGAGACGGAAAAACACTTAATCAGAGGCGGAAACAAGATGTTGCAGAAGGACCGCATACTTGTCCAGAAGTTGCTCATACAAGGCAAGCTCTAAAATAACTTAGTAGATGTAGCCATCTTGTTTCTGCCTCCGATTTTGCTTGGGTGTGATGTCATTCCCAGCTCCGAGATCTGACTTCCGAGATAACTCGAACGCAGCAAAATCAATCAACGGCCCAATGTAAAGATGGGATAAAACTGAGCCCCATCTTGTGAGATCAGAACTTGTAGTAGAACATTTGCAGCATTTAGAAAGTTAAAGTGCAGAGGAAGAACTTCTCTTTAACAGGCAGAAAACCTTGAGCAGAACCAGACTGATGTTAAGACAGTCATCTGCCGCTTCTGCATTGGGTTAAAGATGCAGAAAGAGAGAGACGGACAGAGGTGGGACTGTTGAATGGAGTTGAAGCAGCTTGAAAGCAGGCAGGTCTACAGCAGCAAATGTCTACAGCAGCGATCCAGAGCAAACTATGTCACGATGGAGCTCAGGGACTCACAAAAAGTGTATGGTATAAAAGACTGTCCTGCTGTGTCTACATCCTACTTTTTGCAGAAATTTTGTCAAGAGTCTAGCCGCACAAAGTTCAGATTAAGTCTGGTGGAAACTTTGGTTGTTAGTATTCACAAATAGCCGTCTAATGCCCTGAGTAGGCGGCTATTTGGGAAGTTTCCAGGCATTTTGTGCATGTGCGATTTACAGTTTATACTACATTCGTTAATTTGTCAGAATAAACACATTGGACCATTAGTGCTTCGTGTGTTTAGTGGCACAGTAAATCTCCACTCACCGAGTCATTTTCTCAGACTTGCGCTCATTCTTCATTCGCTGAAGTGTAAAATAGCCGTCAACGCTCTTTATGTGCGTACTCGTGTCACGTATGACAGGCACATAAATTAAAGTTATACAAAAATGTGTACAAACACAAGAGCTTTCAGTAGTCAGAGAGAAAACCAGGGAAGCACTATTCCAGCGAGCAGACAATAAATCTGCGTTTTATATACACGGGGTAAAGTGTTATTGACCTACAGTGCTCTGCAGAGTATGCAAATGTAATTTCCTCCTGGTGTTTTGTGCATGAACACACACACACACAAACACACCCACACAGATCAGGGCTAAGACTACAGGCAAGAGAAGACCTCGACACAGGAGTCCACAGCTGCTTTTGACTAACATCTGCATCAGCAGCATCGATTGTAGATTTTTAGGCAGTGCTCTCCAACTTCCACTTTTACCCACTTGCCTGAAGCTAAACTAAAAAAAATGTAGAAAAAGAAAAAAAAAATGTTTCATAGCTTTTGTTGCTTTATGGACCGTGGCAGCTCATTCACAGCTGTATTTTTTTTGGACGCTCCAGACTACCATATTAGTTTATGTGTGCAGATCCACAGAGCAAAGTGAAAGCCTGGGAGCAGACACAGGGAATAAAGTGGGTGAGACAGGAGGGCTGACATTGATGCGGTCTAGTGAGGAGAGGTGGTGGTAAATTGAGATGCTGAATAGGCTCTGAGGTCCTAGTGGATCAATGAGACACCTGAATTCACATATTGCATTCATTCTCATTGAAGTTTGCCTTTTCCCCTGACAGTCTCTGTCTGCTGCTCTTTCAAGAACACATTCACACAGACAAAATCCACACTCATACACACTTTAAAGGATTCCAACAGAGCGGGCCTAGTCTTGCTGCTTTTCAGAGACAGCGGTTACATTCACGGAGATACAGTATTCGCAGGGATGTAAATATGCACTGCAGGAACTCTGATACACTGTATTTAGATGTGTACATAATTCTATTTGGAAAAGTTTGACATGTTAATAGTTGAAGGACAAAAATAGGATTGTAAAGTTGCTCTGGGTTTTATTTTCTTGCAGTATAACAGTCATCAGCTGTTTCTTTAAAGGGTTTACCAATCACCAAAAACTCCTGTGAGGATTTTTTTCTGTCTTTTAGAAAAGACTGAAATCAAGTCCCTCACTGTTCCTCTAATGCTACTTTTTTAAACAGATCTAACCTCTTTTTATATTATTTCTTGATATAATCCAAGACAAGATTACTTCAACCAATCAATGTCGGCTATTGATTAGTTGTTCACATGCATTTGCATTCATTGCATAATACTTAAATCAACGCATAAAAAATCTGCGTAAGCATATTCTACAACTGCCAGGCTATTAACAGTTTTTAAGGTTTTACCCTCTACCATCTCTTAATTACTGCTTATTCATGGCAAGTAAGCATGTAGCTGTATTATTTAACATCTTAATATGCTAACTTAAGGTGTATGAAGTGGTAGTTACACAAATATAGTGACAACAGTGTCCAATACTAAAAGTTTACTCTCATGTTAAAACAGGATAAGTAAAAGTAAAGTAAAATATGAACAAGAAATAAAATAGATAACGAGTGAAAACAAGTCAAAACATGCTATAAGTAAAAGTGGTAACACTTTATTTAACGCCTATCTCTATAACGCATTATAAATATATTTGTAATGTGTTATAATCATGTTATAGCACTGTATAACTGTAGTTATAAACACTTATAAATGATAATAATGCTTTATAGCAATAATCATAACACATTATAAAGCATTTTATCATGACTTACAAGGTCAGGTATTATAATGTGTTATAATTGTTAACAACTCAAAGACAATGCCCACATAGATAATGCAATGCAACTGTTGTTAACAGTTATAACACATTACAATACCAGACCTTGTCAGTCATGATAAGATGCTCTATAACGTGTTACGATTATTGCTATAAAGTATTATGATCATTTATGAGTGTTTATAACTATAGTTATACAGTGCTAAAATGTGATTATAACACATTATACACATATTTTTAATGTGTTATAGAGATAGGCGTCGAATAAAGCGTCACCATAAAAGCAAGGCAGGTAAGTTTTAAAGATCTATTAATGGTCAGTGAATGTAGAATTTGTATCTACAGCATCTGTGCTGTATTACTGTGGCTTGACAACAATGTGGATAGTATTTCATTGTGCAAGGGTTCCCAGCAGATAAGCAAGACCATCAGCGACAACATTGTGATTTTTATGTTCCAGTTTTTGATCCCTGAAACAGGTGCGAGGGGGCAGGGGCCAGCCGAGCAGCTGAAGAGACAGGCCTGCTTGATAACTTTCCTCATAGAATATTCACAACAAATGATACCCTTGGCTGTCAAAATCAACCTGATTACTTCTTTATATGTCTGAGGACACTTTTTAAAAATGTAAAGGGCAAATTAAGAAAAGACAGCTGCGTCCACAGGGGGCGACAAAATTGACAAATTTGAAGTTCCTCACAGGAGCTTCACGTAAACAGACCTTATGAAGTGCTGGTTTGACTGAAAAGATAAAAAGTGACCAGCAGAGGTGAGTGGGACCAATCACAGAAAGTGGGTCAATCAATAAGTTACAGCTACCAATACAGCGACTGAGCCAAGCTATCTTATAGATGATACCAGAAAGCTTCACAGAAACTACGTTACGTACTTTGATGAAAGCAGTCTTTACACGGGAAGACAACTTTAACTCATTTACATACATGCAATATATAACTCTCATGGATTTCATCATGACAGATAGGTAATAATAGATAGTTATAGAGAAAACTGACAGCGCAACAGCACATTAGTCATGTCTTTGCAATCTGTCAGTGAGCCAAGCCCGAGTCAGACAGGTGTGGATTTCAAATCTTAGTTTTTAAGCTGCTATTTGTTTTGCTGCATTGTAATGCATGTATTATTCTTCACGCTTTGCACCTGCACACTGCTTGTGAGACACCAGTTGTCAGTACTCTTAAGAAAAACAGGCCACAGCTCAGCCTAATGAGGACACTTGGGGTGAGAAGCTTTAGTATACAAGTTAAAAGACAAAGTTTCAGTGTGTTTTCTCACAGAATAACAGCATGCCTGCTAAGACATCCTAATATGAACCCAGAGCATGTGGGAAATGGTTGTAAGCAAGCCAGACTCACAAGGGCTCTTCCTGGCAGAGGAAGCCAAGGTGATCCTCACAAACTCTAAAATGCCCTCTGTTGAAGGAATGTTGAGTAGCAACACACTCAGGTCTACATTCAGATTTCTACAAAGACAGGCAAAACATCATTGAAAGCAGAGCTTACCCTGCAGGATGGTGGTGTAAGAATGTTGTCAGCAGAGTTTGTACACCTCATCCCCCTCTGACCTCTCCGTCTGAGTGTCTGAAAAGAGATGGGATAGAATGAGATAGGAGGGCACAGTCGGGCGCTCAAACACACAAACACACTTTGAGTATTTGGTACAGAGTGAGTCATTACTCGGGACATGAGGCAGAGACACCTGTGACTGATTGGATTCTTGGAAGTGTGAGGGTGGGGAGCATCTGACAGGGCCGGGGAACGGCATGAAAGCCTGTTTTTTGTGGATTAGTTATCATGGTTCAAAGAATTCAGCAAGTCCAGACTGACATAACAGCTAAGCAGGAGGGGGGGAGGAACCTGCATCTGTTTCGACTCCAGGCTGGTGAAAGAGTTCACTGTAACACCTTCGTTCAACTGTTCCATCTGCACTGCTGTCAAATTCAATTTAATTGGTGTAGAAAATATTTCCTGGCCAGTTCATGAAGCATGTGGGAGAAGAGTTGGGTGTACAAAACAGTAGGCTTGGACACAAAGTAATTGAGTGGGCCGTCAAAGAGTAGGCAAGCACGGCATTTGGTGCAAAACAGACTTAATGCCAAACTGTGACCTATGAGAGTTTGGACTGTTTGTGTTTTGTTAGGAGTGATGTGAATAAATATCTTTGAGGAGTTTCAGTGGCGCGTGTCTGTGGGGGTGAGCGTGTACTTGTGTGGGAGGTCAGACATATGCACACGTGAGGCTCCTATATGCCCCAACAGCCTAGCAACATTTGTCAATGTTCAGATGATTTCTGTCCAGTTCAGGGGAGATGTGCAGGAGATGAGTGGGTGTATAAAACAGTAGGCTGGTTATGCAGCTACAGAGTGGGCTGTCAAAGAGTGAGCAAGCTGAGTACCTAGTAAAAATTAAACATAGTGCAGACCTGACTCCTCCGAGAGCTGAGATTCGATAAACACCTACTTGACATGTTTGCTTCTCATGGGGTTTATTCTGTTTGCTTTATTGTTTGAATGTTCAGATAATTTGCGTTCACTTTCATAGCAATGCTAATCGCCTACTACCCTTCTGTTTATAGGATATTAATATCACACGCTAACCCCTGATGACTTTTCTTTACATAATTTGTTAATGTATGAAGTTGTTTATATAACACCTTGATCATTACTGCGCTGTATGTGATCACTCTGGCCCCTCAATTTTTTCTTTATGTTTACCTTTTGCTCATTAATTACACTATAACACTTATTTATTTTTATGATGATGTTTTTGTAGAACTTCACCTTTCCTACTAAGGATAACCTGAGAAAGAGACAGGAAATGTAGGATGAGAAAGGGGGAGGAAATCTGTGTATCAGGTTCCCACTCCACCAACTAAGCTAACCGGTGACAGCTACTGCCATAATGCAATGATGCTCAACTACCTGGATATTAAAAAGCACCAACAGCAGTGTTTTTTTTAGTGTTCTGCAGAGAACCAGTATTATGATCTAGCAAACAGAGATAAAGCTGGTTAAACTCAGATATCACTCAACTGGAGTTCGTTGTAACCCACTCAGGTCTGTGGGAGAAGGGTCAAATGCTGGTGGTGCTGATTAGGAACCTCAAATCAATATCATGATATATTAGGCAGTTTACCTCAATAACGATAAATAGACAATAACTACTCCACAAGTTGCTAACCCCCTCCGACATTAACTTTGTCTACTTCAGCCGCTACAACTTTTGAACCGTCCTCCATCTCCTCGCCTGTCTTTCCCTCTTAGTTACGGACTGGATGGGTTGGAGTCACTTCTCCAATGTAGGACAGCATCTTAAAGGGACATGAGACCATAGCCTACCTACACACATCCAAAACCAACTTTTATTTTTTATTTGACACTGAATATATTGACATGGGCAAAATGACGTCGGTTATTGTTGTAAATTTTGGTATCAGTAAATTTACGGTTTATCGCCCAGCCCTAGTGCTGATTCTGCAAAAGTTGGCCACATCCAGCAAACCTATGTGACATCTATCTGTAGACTCTTTAGTCTTGTGTTTAACTATGTTGAATCAATCATACTTAATTTGATTTTTTTTACTGTTTTCTTATCTTTAGACTGATCAGTTTGTGGAATTTTAATTTATGAGATTTGGGAAACTAGTTGCTCCTGCACACCACTCTGAGTGCTTTTACTCTTCATGTACTATCCACTCATTCAAACAGTGATGGAAGAGCCCGCTACACCAGTACAAAATAATCCCATTTACAAGCATTAATATGCCACCATAAGCACTTCAGTGTTGAGCTTCTTTTGATTGAGAGAAAAGCCACTTCACCACTGGATCTCATCCTAACACAATGGAGGCTTTATGCTTTACTCTACACTTTTTTTTTTACACTAGATTTATTCAAGACCATCACTTTTCCTACAGGCATTGTCCAAACAGTAAAGCTCACACCATAGTTTGTTTTTATTGTCATACCCTTCTGTCACTTCTTTATACTGCCTGAAGGGCCTAAGCAGATAATTTACTCTTTAGAGCAAATACTCAGGTACAACCTCAACATTGACATGACACTAAAGCTAAAATCATGCTAAGCCAGTCTATTACTGCAGACAGTTAAGCTGGCTTAGCAGGCTAAGCTGAGAAAATCTATCCCTGTAAGTTCAAAACACAAATGCATACCGTGAACAATTTGTATGCATGTCCCGGGGGCTTAGTACTGCATGTGTGTTTATATATTTACATGTGCGTGTGTGTGTGTGTATGTGTGACAGGTTCAAAACATTAGCCAGTCGATGGAGGTGCTGGACCTGCGGACATATAGAGATCTGCAGTACGTGAGGAACACAGAGAGCTTAATGAAAGTGGTGGACGGAAAGCTGAAGGTGGCCTCAGAAAATCCCCGCAGTCTCAATCCAAAGGGCTTTCAGGTAATTGGCTGTCTGTCACTTCTGGTACAGTGGTGAGTGTGTTTCTTATTGTGGAGTGAATGTAGATTCCATTAGATATGGCTCTGCTCTCTGTGCGCACACCAACTTTGCCAGACTGCACTGCAATCTCTTTTGCTCTTTATGGACGATAAAATTTGGTGTGACTTTTGATAAACTGCTACAGCCGCGGTGCACAAATACAATTCTAAAACTATCTTTGTCATGCACAGAGACAATTTCACATGCTCCTGAATAATTAAACCTCTGGACCTGGAAGAAGATTGTTTTTTTCACTCTGTCTTCCTCTTTCTACATCATTTCCTCTCCTTCCCCACTCAAAGATATACTTAACATTCTGGTGACTGCTCTTAGATAGCAGGCCCATATATTCACATTTATCTCTTCCTTATCTCCCTACAAGCTGAGGCTCAGCTGCCATTATCAGTGGGCCTTTTTGTCTTCCTGTCAGCGAGCTGTCTGGCCCTGACTTTCACCACATTTCTCACACTCTTACAGATATTAGATGGTCCATAAAATAGTTTGATTAAAAGACGCATTGATAAATGCTAAGTGTGCTTTACTGCCGGGTTGTTGCCTCAGCATTAAGACAAGCGTGAAAAGCTGGTTTGCTTTCCCTTTCATTGTATATTGGGAAAGCAACTCCAAATGGGGTTGTGAGGATGTTTGTAAAAAATAGTCGATTCATCAGAAGAACTCTGAACGTAAATCTGCCGAATAGTGAGCATTAAATTCCAGGACTTTTCTGAATGCAAATCTACAATCCAATAAAGAGAAAAAAAGTATTTTAGAAAAGCAGGATTGACCAGAGCAGGTTGCCTGATGAATGCTCGCAGCTCAAAGTTGCCAATGGCAAAGCGTGGGAGATTAACGAGACCGAATTTTCGCAGCTTGAAAAGGGGAAAATGAGATTTATGATGTGGCGCCACAGGGCTGAGAGCTGCTCCATCACCAGATTTACGATAAACCTTAACAAGAAGGAAACAGCCCCTCCTGTGGTGGCTACACTTTATTGATACACCTTTTTCTCTTTTCTACCTTCCAAGCTGGCAGCCGGGCTCTCCTGCTGCTCACTGCACTCCAATTTAAGGACACATTGTTCTTTTTCCACTTGTAAACAAAAAAAAAAATGTCTTACAGACCGAGTTTACCTCCAACCCTGCAGTACCGTGTTTGTACTGTGGTTAAAGTATAACAACTCAAACCAGACTACACAGTAAACAGATTTTCATTTTATCAAATTAAAAATAATGTGCAAATACTGGAGCTTTCCAATCTTTTTAGAGGATTGTAAATGGAAATAAATAGCTACTTGGGGATCATGCAAAGACGCTGACGCAATTAAAACAAATGGATAGCAGCTAGATCAATAGTAAGAAAAAAAAAGACTGCAATTGAGGAGAACTTTGTGTCTTGCTAGAGATATTAACTTTAAAGAGGAAGATAAGAGTCTTTCAAAAAATCAAACAACTTTGAAGGGAAATCCAATTCCAACACAGAAGTTGACAGATATTAAAGAAAGACTTTTGAGTAGATTATGCTCCAGCACAGTACTTTGAATGTTATGACAAGTCTGGTCAAAAAGATGAAGCAGCTCTGAGCTCCACATGAGCTCCTGATTGAGAGATTATCTACAAACCAGAGGTAGCAAGTGAAGATTAAATGGGCTGTCTCCTCTGCACATAATCACTGCTCTCTGACAACAAGTACCATTTTTAATCCTCCCCACCACCTTTGCTGCTATTCCATGTCTCCCTCTGTCACGACTGTTGTAGGAGTTGAAAAACAAGGTGACCGAGCTGCTACCCCTGCTGCCAGTACTGGAACAATACAAAGCAGATGCCAAGATGATCCTACGCCTCCGGGAGGAAGTGAGGAATCTGTCCTTGGTGCTGATGGCCATCCAAGAAGAGATGGGGGCCTATGACTATGAGGAGCTACGTCAGAGAGTCCTACTCCTGGAAACCAGACTCCACTCCTGCATGCAGAAACTAGGTATAAAATGAATACGAATGAGTTGGGGGGCCTTAGTGTTAAATGTTTAATTTGTGATCCATTAACCCCAAACACTGCACAAAAAGAAGGTAAAACAACAAACAGCAGGGGGAAAGGTATTAGCGGTCAAAACGCTGTTAAACATTGTCAACATTTCCTCTAGACTCGGTGCTCTAATTATTTGCGTTAATCAGGGAGAATGGCCTAAAAGGAGAGAATGAATAATTGATGACCTTCTTATTCGATGTGTTCGCTTAAAGTGATGGTTTAACATGAATCAATGACTCAGCAGATAAAGCCTGCAGTTATTATTTTGGCCTTTAGGTCATTAGCGTTTAATTATTGCGCTGCAATGACTGTAAATTTGAATAAACCATGCAGAGACAAGAAATAGTAATGGATCTTTGAAAATGTGCCAAGCAAATTCAAGCTATAATTCACATGTTGTTTGCATCAAGGTGTAATAGCAATCTTGATGAACTGGTGGGTGTTATTTCAAAAATCCTAACATGCAAATAGGAAACAAACTGGCATTTTGAGTTGAAGTGTTTTGACCATGGACAGCTGTATCAGTCCACTAACCTTCCAACTGTGAGTCACACAATTAATTGTTGAAATTTACAACTAATCACCTATTCCAATAAATAATGTGATCAATTACATTTTTAATCAGTGTTAAAATTAATTAATTTAGGCATGAACTTCAGACCTGAATCACAATCAGAGCTGCCAGGTGTACAAGAATTGTCGTGTTTGTACGATGTACGATCAATAACCCAGAAAAAAGGCTAAATGTAAGATTATTTGACAGTTTTGTGAATGTGTGGTGCAATAGGACTGTCTCAGTCCGCCACACTTAATTTTTTAGTTTTTTATTTGCGAACCCTAAAGGCATCTTTTACCACGTGATGGTTCCATCCAATCATAGTTTGAGTGATTCGTCGCCAAACAACAAGCATGATTGACTGTCAATCATGCCCAGTTGGAAGTGGGGCAGGGGTTGAATGACCACAAAACTGTTGTCACAAAATCATGGGTGCGTGTAGGACGCTAAACAGATTGACTATCATGCAACAGTAAGATTGTTATTTTGATTATGATGGGTGTATGATAATTTTCCAAAAAATACGATAATTTTGAGTCTCTGGTACGATAATTCTATATGTCCCATCTTGCAACACTGATCACATTGTGATAACATGTTAACGCTAACAGCCTTGGTTTTTATCAATGTACAGAAACAGAAAGTCTTAGTAGGATGTGGGGCCTAAAACATAGCCTGGTGGAACTCTCTGTATCAAATGAGCTGTCTCCTGGATAAAACATGTCTGTCTATTTTGAGAGTGTGTGCATGGAGTACATGTAATCATAACCCTTTCATATACATTTTAAAGACACTTTTTTTTGTCTTTTCTTGAACCTGCAGGCTGTGGGAAGCTGACTGGTGTTAGTAATCCAATCACAGTGCGTGCATCAGGGTCAAGGTTCGGCTCCTGGATGACAGATACCATGATCCCCAGCTCAGACAACAGAGTAAGTCGCCTCTGTTTCTACCACTGAGTTTTTAATTCAACAAACCCCGAGGATAAGAACAACAAGTTATCATCAGAAATTGTCCGAACTCGGTTAGGTGCTAAATGGAGAAAATATCCCTAACAGCAATGCTGTCACAGTACTTCAGTGACTGATCGACCTGTCTTTCCCGAGTAGGACTCCACATGCACTCAGAAGGAGAAAAGAGAGAGAGGGGAGGGGGTGCAACAGGGATGCAAAACTGAGTCACTGATGGATAGCATCCTTTCCCCTGTCTTCTGTCCTCTGTCACTGCAACTCCAGCTGATTAATCACTTCATCATCATGGAGAATGAATGAGTTGTTTGGGCTTAAGTTTTCCAAATCACTTGGGTAATTACTGAGAGTGTGTGGTGGATTTTCTGGACCTTGATGATGTAGTACTGTATCGTGCAGAGTAAGACGACCCTCATGATGCGACCACCCCCTTTTCAAGACTAACCCTAGGACAAAGACTTATTAGAGACTAGATCTTAATTTTAAGAACAAAAACAAGATTTTAACTCACATGAAACATACTACACTCAGACGAACTTTTCGTGATGAGCGTTTTTGGGCTCACTCTTTTTTTCTGACAATACATTTTTTTGCTCTTTAAAGTCCCACTCCGATCGTTTTTTTTACTTCTTAAAGTGTTCTCAGTGGTCTTTAAATTGTGAATATTAAGTTTTTAGCCAAAATCATGTTACCTGTGTCATTTTCAAGGGCATTTCTACTGCAGAGCTCCAGTAGCTCATTAGCAATTCGCCTGTGAGACAGCGGAGACAGTGCTGCTCTGTGCACCCATTTTCACGTTAGTTTGCAACCTAACATTGCCGGTGTAGTAGGAGTGGCAGGTATTCAGCTCCCGGACACTAATGTCGTCAAGGACACAATGAAAGCTAATATAATAATTAGCTTTCTTATGAGCATTGCAATCCGCCACGCTATCTCCTCTATATGCAAAGTGTGGCCTGCATAGCGGGGCTCGGGGGGCGGAGCTTGGATTGGTTACATATGAACTCTCACTGTTTCTGAACCTGCTGTTTGGGTCTGCCAAAGATTCACAGAAATCTGAATGAAGAAATACTCAAAAAAGCAATTTCCCATTTATTTTCTCATGATATATCCTGTAGCATCAGAAAAATGCCATATGAACATGTAGAAAACAAGAAAAACATGATTTTCATCAGAGTGGGTCTTTAACAGTAGTTTAATGTCTCTTCTGCATTCATTATAGCGTCCTTTGAAAAAGGTGCCACAACGCCACTTCACTTCTTGCTCTACTTGTCCTACTTTTTGCTCACTGCGTCACTCCATCTGCCATCCTCTTGGCGCTGTAAAGTGTTACAATTGTTACATTTTTTTTTGGCTGATGGTTTTTGTGCAAAGAAATGTACATCTAAGAGTCAGTGTGACACAAGCAAGAATCTCGACAAGCAGTGAGTGACAGCTGGCCTCGGAGTGGCACATCTGTTGCAGCAAATGTTGACTTTTAAATACGAGGGTAAAATCATAAGATGTTCCCACTTATTTTTGGATATATTTGAGGGTATAATACTCTAAATTCCAATCAATACAGTGATGGTATCAGATGATAAGTAATGGCATGTATTTTCATAAGAGCAGACACATCGAGACACAGAGAGTGGTTCATTTCCCTCTACCAGCAGTAAGGGAGAATGAAAACTGTTAAACTTAAACAAGATAGCAAATGATAGCCCATCTCCACACAGGCCTGATATATATTGCTCCCAGAAAAGGTCAATTTATGTGATTGAATACCCTGATCTTTGTCTTTAATCACCACACTTGCTGATATAACAGTAGACTCTTAAAATCAATCATTGAAAGTATTAATAGCCAGATACATCAAGGATATCATATAAACACCCACACCAATCATGATAATGATATTTGGGAAACATCATTGTCGCTGAGAAGCCTGACAGAAAATAAAAAAACTCAGCAGAGGATTTGGCCTGGCTCAGCTCCTGTTCCCCGCTTCGCTCTGGGGAGTCATTTAGCCAGCATAGGAAAAACAATGCCTAATGCTCCATAATCTCCCCTTCTCCATAATTCTGCCGCTGTGCCCCACCACCCCAGACTCCCCCCCTCAAAACCCTTCCTCAACCCTCACTGGGTTTGTTATTGCAGAAAAAGTGCTTAGTCTACACCAGGGATGGAGGGAGGAGACAGGAAAGAAAAGATGGGTGGTGCATCAGGGGACCTGGAGCTACAATTTAACCGAGCCCTACTTTATATGTTAAAGACAAAATAAATATCTAAGCCAACTGCAGTTTAATTGAATCAATTAAAAGCTGAACTGTGCCTCGATGGGAGCGCTGAATGAGAAGGGGGATGCAGCCTAAGAGGGGGCAATGTCAGTGGAGAGATCCGCTGAGAGTGCTTGAGGAAAAAAGATAGAGCTGCTAAATGGATTGATTTTCTGTAAATGTGGACTGGAGAGGGCAGAGAGCACAGCAGTGGCTGACTGCTAGGAGCAGGCAACGTCTTCATTCCCACACACGGGGAAAAGATCAATAGTCCTGCACACAGTCAAGTATGCAAAAAACGCAGGAGGGCTTACACTCACACTTAAACAGAGGCATTTCAACACATCGACACACACGATCTTTGCTCAAGGCATCACCACAGGCTATAATAAAATACAGCTTCAAGCGCTCTTGCAGAGTCAAGTATAGTGCTGCAATGTTCTCCATAACTTCTAGATTTTTTATTATGTATTTATTAAAATGCCTTGTTTTTAAGAAGTATAGTTTTCTTTAAGGTGGTTTTTCTCCTCTCCACACAGGTGTGGTCCATGGATGGTTATTTCAAAGGACGCCGTGTCCTGGAGTACCGCACAATGAATGATTTCATGAAGGGCCAGAACTTTGTGCAACACTTACTGCCCCATCCCTGGGCAGGCACTGGTCATGTGGTCTACAACGGCTCGCTGTACTACAACAAGTACCAGAGCAACATCATCATCAAGTATCACTTCCGCTCTCGGAGTGTGCTGGTACAGCGCAGCCTGAGCGGGGCCGGCTACAACAACACCTTTCCCTACTCCTGGGGCGGCTCCTCTGACATCGACCTCATGGCAGATGAGAACGGCCTGTGGGCTGTTTACACCACCATCCCTAACGCTGGGAATATTGTCATCAGCCGTCTGGAGCCTCAGAGTCTGGAAGTGTTGCAGACTTGGGACACAGGCTTTCCCAAACGCAGTGCTGGAGAGTCATTTATGATATGCGGCACGCTATATGTCACCAACTCCCACCTGGCTGGTGCCAAAATCTACTTTGCCTACTACACCAACACATCGAGCTATGAGTACACAGACATCCCCTTCCACAATCAATACTCCCACATTTCCATGATGGACTACAACCCCAGGGAGAGGGTCCTGTACACATGGAACAACGGACACCAGGTGCTCTACAATGTCACACTGTTCCAGGTTATTAAGACTTCTGGGGACTGAGAGCTTCAGAGGGACTCACTCAAATAATGCTGTGATCATTGGTCGGGGCGGGGAAGCGAGATGTGTGGAGGTGGGCACAACTTGCGGGTGGTGTGGGGTTGGGGGGGGTCTGGTTTACGGGCATAAGCTTGGATTTTTTTTAAAGAATTTCAATCTTCATAGAGTGCTATTATTCACATTCTCAAAAGAACACTCCGACAGCGACGTCGGCAAAGATACAAAGACTGAACGCTTCTCTTTTTTTCTTTCTGTGATGAGTAAGCATGGTTCTTTTTATTTGTGATGAGAAATAAATATCAATCTTTACCATTTAAGACTCTGGATTTTATTCTCACACTATAGCGCGTTTTAACAAGATATCTTCAGATTTGGATGTGTGCACTCTCAAGGTCAGTATTGCTTACAGTGAAAGGAAAGAAAAGGTGCAGCATTTCTTTTTTTAAGACGTCTGTTTAAATCTGATCAGTCTTTGCCCAAGGAACATTTTGCTTTTTGGTAGGGATGCACCGATCCGATATTTGGATCGGATATCGGCTCCGATATTGACAAATTAACTGGACCTTAATTAATATCATACACAGCAACTCAGCGATTCTGTTCGCTCTATATTCTATGTCTGTCTATTCTTTTGCACTAAATGTTTACATGGAAGTCTTACTTCTTTTTGCTGAGTGCTTATGTGCAATTTGTTATTTGTTAATAAATATTATTAAGTAAATTTATATCTGTGTTAATTTGTTATCTTTTTTTTTTTTTTATGAGGCTAAAGTCAAGCCTGATGCCTTCACTCACAGGGCAAGGTATACAGTCTATTCAACAGTAGTATCGTTCAGCCCAGGTATCGGTATCAGACTGGATCGGAAAAAAATGGATCGGTGCATCTCTACTCTGCAAAAAAAATATATCCTTTCAAATCTTGATGCAACCAACAACAATTACTTATAAGCCTAACTAGCTTAAATCGCACAGTGAGAATGAGACAAATGTTTACTCACAGATAAAACTTTCAACATCATCAATGCCAATTGGATAGTGTTGTAGGCGGGACATTTAGCAAGACTAAGTTGGGCAAGAAAACAGACCCAGAGGGGGAGATACACTAGCATCTGAGCCAAAGTAGCCCACTTTTGAGTTAAAGCTCTTGTGAGGAGTTTTTTGACATTTATAAAATTGACCAGGATCAGTATTGATGCTTTTTTATGACATAAAAAAGCAGACAAGACCGTCAGAAACTAGACTGTCAGCCAAGCAGTTATAGAAAAAGCCCTGTTTTTACAATTCCCTTATAAAATACTAACATCCAGTAATGCAGTTGACCCTGCAAAGTCAGGATCATACAGAATCAGATCATACCAAAACAATGCAAATTAAATTAAATGAAATAACCAAATAGAGAAAATAGAGAGGGGAAAAATAATAAAGTAATACAAACAAAAAAAGAGTGAAAAAATTAGATAAAAAGTAAAAAAAAAAAATCCTGGCACTGATTTTTACATGGATGTTTACAGATTTATTCATCTAATTTATTTATCTATTTTTTTTTATTTAAGGTGTTGAAGTCAATCCCTTGTGCCCTGACATTCGCAGTTGAAATACATTCAAGGAAAACTCAATAAAAAGAATTTTGAAAGAAATACTCTGCGAAGTCAGCAGAATTAGATTTGTTTTGTCACTGTTAAAGCATGTAGAGGCATCACCTCTCCTGTGATGTGACGGTCAAACGATCGATCATTCAATCTCAAGATCCGCATTAGATCATTTCTGTGAAACCGTTTCATCCAGTCCTTTTCATCTCAAGAGCCGGGGCAGGAGGTGACGTGCAAGAAAACAGCAACCTACCATACACTCCCTGAAAAAGTGTTAAATTTAACAGCAACAGCCGTGGCTCTCATTTTATTTTTACAAGGTGAAATGAAAGTAAAAAGCGAAACATTTGCTTGAAGGAACAGGTGGTGGTGTGAAGGGTCGAGAAGCACAAACAGAGAGAGGGTGAGGCGAGATGTACGAGGAATTTTAACAGTATTTATGTTTGAGCAGAGAAACGAAGCTGCTCTTGCTCGACAAGCTCCAATCTGCTTTAATCTTGTTTGTCACACACAGCTCCTCTCAGGTGCTGTAAGCAGAGAAATGTTCGAACCCAAGATGTACAATTGAATACAGATTACATAAACTGTTAGTCTCAATTTGCTCTCCTTTCATCGCTACTTTTTCATTATTTACCACTAGAAAAATAATTCTGCAGCAGCCTCGGTATTCTCGGCTTTATAGGAGGCACCTCTTTAGACGGCAGCCCACTGTGCTGCTGTTCCACTCTTTTCATTCACAAGCCGAGCTGGGCTGCAGCCTTTCTTTGCAGGAGCTGTGGTGAAAACAGAAGACCGAGGAGAATAGAAGGATCCACTTTCCTGCCCCTGCGTAACCATGGTGATCCTTTTTTATTCTAGATGACCTTTCTATCAATAAAGTGTGGTGCTGAAGAGAATCCCGATGAGTCCATACACAGTGGTGCCTGACATTTAAAAGCACAATACAGTACACAACAATACAGAGGATCAAACAGTGTTAGCAAGACCGAATCAACTACACAGCAGAGGGAGAACAAACATATTGGAGCTTCTGTAACACAAAGATATAGATGTGAATACAGAAACCATGCGTATTCACCCAGAGCTGTGATAAGACAGGAAACCTAAGGCTCATGCTGTCCCAGAGCTCGTACTCTGACTCTGTCTAAACATTTAGTTAGATATGATTTAACCGCCTACTGAAACAGCTAACAAACCTTCCCCCTCAGTGACAAGGTATGAAATAATGGCTGCACCTTAGTAACCTGATTTCTTTGATCATGCAAAATGAGCAATGAAGTCTGCAGAGATGTGAACCGAACATGAGCATATTCTACCTTTTTCAGACTTGCAGCTAAACAGGCCCCACATTTTTATCCTTCTGAACTCGCTGCTGCAAAAACTTGTTCCGTTTCAATAAAAAGAGAAATGTTATTGCCGCTCTCCAACTCAGCCAAGCGTCATTTTGTCCCTTTTAATAAATGTTTTCTGCAATAAATGTTACAGAGAGAAAAACAGGAAATACTGCAATGATATTACCAAGTACAACAGACAGAAAAACAGAAGTTGAGCTGACAACTTTATTATACAAACATCAATTACTATGAGTGTTTGCTGCCAGCACTGATGCCATTTCCTCCAGCACTTGAGAGGCAAACATTAGCTCTGTAAGCATCCCTGAGTACGCTGTTGTGCCAACTAATGCTCAAGGCCAAGGGCTAGCAAGTGTCTGGATAATAACAGTAAAGATCGGAGGCTTGACGACTAGCATCAAATCCCTGCACAGCCCCATGTTGAAGTTGTATCAACGGATCTGCGTCTGGAGGGATCAACTCCAGTTAAGGCCTTCTCGTCAGTCTGCAGCTCCCTGCTGTGTCTTCCCCACTTAAGATCATCTCCAGAGTAAAACCCAAGGATTGAAAACAATGAATCACTGAGCTGGTGCACGCAGTGTGTAAATCTCTTAAGAGTCAGATTCTCACAGAGTGGAGCTTAATCTGCAAAACCGTCCAGTTTAACTGACTTCATTCAGTCCTGTTGAAGGCTGTGTTTTCATCTGAGCTCCTGTTGAGAGTATCTCAGGCAGCGGTTTATTGCAAACTCAACATGGTTTTTTAACTCGGTTTAAATGTGGTTGTTTCCCTCTTTGAGCTATATGTAGGGCTGGGCGATATGGGAAAAAGTTTATTATGATATATATTTTTTTCATATCAGTCTATACAGATATATATATCATAATATAAAAAATGAAAGTTAACAGTGCTTATTGGTAGCATGTCTTTTGCAATACAATAAGCTACTGCATCTGTGAGGTCTTTGCGTCTCTTCAACGTGTTGTGGTAATGCGTTGCGCAAGAGAAAGTGGACTAAAGGGTCGGCTGTTTCGGCTGCATAGGCGCCATGGGCTTTCCTGCTCCACTCGGGGTTTGTAACCTTTTGCACTGCACATGCTCTGGTGAAAAAGATGCTATGTGCTAAGTGCTATGGTTGCGTGTAACTGCAGCCTGCTACTACGCAGTTATTTGCTACTTGGTTCTAATGCAGCACATTATTGGTTCAGCACGAAGCGGACCCAATACAACGCCCCTTTCATTGACTATCAGTCTACCAAAACATGGTAGAAAGCCGACTATCGTAAAGCATATTGGCCATGTTTTATATTGACATTACAGTAGATAAATTTTCGATATACATCGTCAACGTTTTATCGCCCAGCCCTAGCTATGTGCATGAATCTGGTTGTATGTGGACACTCAGCCTCATGCACTAATATTTTTATGAGTGTTGTCTTTAATTTAAAGTCTCAGGTTGTAACCAAAATTATTAACTCATCCTCGACTCTTGCTCCCTGCATGGTGCTTGGTAATTAATGACATGGATTTATGATGTCACTGCTGTTGCACATTTCCGATCTGCAGCTGAACACCAGCTGGAGATTAATGATAAGGAACAGCATAAATCCAAGCGGTAACTATTATAGTGAGCAAACAAATAAAAATAATCAGGGAATGCATTTTTACTACAATGACCTTCTGAATTTTGAACTACAACTTATTTAATTGTCCTTAAAAAACTTAGATCGCTGCACAGAAACTCAAAAGTCAGGATGGAAACTCAAACCAGGTGTTCCTAATTAGAGGAGGTAAACAACTCTCTGTGCCACTGCAAGGACAGAAGACTGCAGGGTGTGTGTGCAATAAGTCAAAAAAAGGACTGAAAAGAGAAACGGTAGGAATCCCAAAGCCCTTAACTGCAGTCTCCTTTAGTCCTCAGCTGAACCGGAGTATTTAAGGACTTGCCATGCTAAGTGGCATTCATACAAAAGCCCTTAACCCTGCTTGGAGGACAGAGGAAGGAGGGGGAAACCGAAAATGATACAACAAAGCAATCTTCACAGACCCGATCACTCACAGATTGGACACTGATGGGGCTCAGACTTGACTGAAACTTCACTCGAGTTTATTCAAAGAGAGAAGACGGACCTTGAAGTGGTCATTAAGGAGAGCCTTGAAATAGTCTCAGTACAGATAAACTGGGATTGAGACAGTTTGACATGAGTAGTCAGAATAAAATACTGTTTGTTAAATAGGTAACAAACAGAGATAATACACTATAACTGTGTTTTATTACAGTAAATAATGAGCTGCCAAAGCTGTCTGCCAGCTGACCCAGCTGCTGATGCCGTCAACACAAACAGGCTTTCATATCCTTGCATGTCTAGTGAGGAACGAAGATGCAAGTGAGTGGCACAAGTAAGGGAAGCAAGTGTGAAATATGAGAAGTGTCCAAATGTGGCTTTTAAGAACAGATTCAGAACAATAAGGAGCAAGTAAAAGTACAATAGAGATTTCTTTTCTCTCGCTTTGTGAACGGCTTTATATACATCTGCACGACAGCTATATCAGCAGATCACTTACTAGATGTGTCAATGTAACCATGGTTACATAATGTTCTTCATACTCGGTAATATGAGTTTGTCCTAAAAGCTTGCTGCTGTATCTGATCTCTCCACCTTAATGAAGTGTGCTTAAATTAGCTACAGGAGTGACTTCAAACAGAGTTACTCTACTGCAGAGAGGGAGCCATGAGGGTCTCGACTGAGAAATTCCCAGGGAGGTGGAGGAAGGAGGGGACTAAACAGATTTATACGGAAAAAA